TTGAATAACAAATCATAACATTACCAACAAATATTGTCTTTCAGCGATCATTTTTTAAAGCTGAGGGTGTAACCGCTCTCACACCTCATGTATTCATCCCTGTTAACTATTCATGATTTATTTATGGTATAAATTAGGTTTGGAACGCAATGAAATTAGAGAAGAGGTACACAAAATCACTAAGGCAGTTATTTGTAGGAATTAAATCGGTTGTATCATCAAACAAAATCTATATTCATCGTTAAAAATTTTCAGGCATTTTACTATACTGAAATTTGCAAAGATCTTGAATCATTGCACTTTAGACATCGATAAACTTCCTTATGCTATTGAAAGCAAACACAAACCTGAAGACTTGTGCTTTTGGCAGTTGCTGCCACTGGACTCCAGTCAGTGGAATAATAATCACCCTGAAACGAAGTGAACATTTATATTTGAATAAAATTGCAGCAATCAATGCTGATGAAAACGTAAATAAATGGTCGCACCTGATCATTTATGAAAATACGCTGAAATATTTTGTAGCTAGTGCCAGGCTTTAGCGGGCCATTATAATAATTTTCACCATTGGAACGCCGTGTTGTGGTTTCACCGTCACCAAGTGTAAAATCAGGCTTAAAGTCTCTGCGAGAGACTACAGCAGCAATATACGGCATTGGTTGTGTGGAAGATATGGCCTTAGAATAAGTCACTAAGTCTGTGTTTTAAAGTTAGAAGGCAATCGACTCTCTTCTGTGACATTTTTCATCGCGACTACATAGAAATATCTGCAAATTTAAGGCAAAACATTTTTAAAATACATGCATAACCTCTGCTTTTGTTAATGGTTAAAATATATGTTATGCATGCATCCGCAATGCCAAAGAAAAGCGACGAGTCATCAAAGCTTTCCCAGAGAGATATTTAGACTACCTCGATCCCACATGAAACCAACTGTCCTATACTTAGCCATGAATCCGAAAACTCAAAAATACTTTTAAGTTCCTTTAAGTTTTTTACAATAATTTGCTCTAGTAAAATACATAGTTACCGATATTCCACATTTGGATTTTGCAACAAATAAGTCAACGTATTTCCAATCTGCTTGGTGGACAGTTCAGGTGCCACTAAATAAATAAACTTCAATTAATTTATCATCTTAAACAAACCTGTGCATAAAGCATAGACGACTTACCTCCATTTGTAAATACCCATGTAAAATTGCTATAACATCCAGATCCCACTATTGTAGAAGCTAAAACACGAACATAATATTTTGTCCCTGGTTTCACATTATTTATGTCCAAACGCTGTTCCTCGATCATATACTTCATTGAACAGGTTTCATTCTCCAAATGTGTAATACAAACAGTGTAATTGACTATCTTTCCATTTGTTTTCTTCTTGTCTGGTGGATCCCACGTAACTGATAACGATGAACTGCTTAAGGCGACAATTTGAACATTTAAAGGTGGACCTTCGGGAACTAAACAAAAATAGAAACATTTGTTTTAAAGATTTATATAAAATAGTAAATACACTTTAGAAAGAAGTCCTAACAAGTGTACACTGTCATTGTTAACTTAAATATAACACAGTATTAAAAAAACATGATTGAAATAAATATCGACCAGAAAAGATTTGAGCTTTCAAAAGTCGTCTATGGCAATAACACCATCAATGCAACAGCCGATATGTATACACAAAAACTGATATGAACTCACCATCTTCAGCAGTTCTAAAAGTAGCTGTAGTTGATCTACCAAAGCCTTCAGAATTGCCAGCGGTTACATTAACTTTATACGTTGCGTAAGGAACAAGATTCGTAATGTTTTACGGTTTTTTGTCAGTTACCTCCAGAGTTTTATCAAAAACAATCATAGTATCCTTCAGCAAAATCAATAGATATCTTGTAAGAGGATTCGAGATATTTGTACCAAGTTTTACACCAGTTTTTTTGGGATGTTTCCACGATATCTCGAGGTACGTCGATGCAGATTTGGTTGCAATGAGATCTGTTGGTTTGTCTGGGAGTAAGTCTGCACGATAAAAGAAAAATCTACAAATTGAACCATTTGTAGCCCCTAAGTGAAATAAGTGTTCTGCTTTTTCTGCAATAACACGTGTTAAACTTAACTGCATGTTGAAAAGGCTTGTTTCAATACGTTTATTTCATTAGAGAAAGAAACTAACACTTCAACCTTCGTGGAAAATTGGTTCTGTTTTGTCAACTAACTCATGTTTAATTAATACTCAGAGAAAAAAACTTTATATATTGAAAAATTAAGTGCTTACAGTGCAAAGTAAACCTGGTATATTTTTTCTACTTCTTACCTCCACCACAAATTTCAATTCGTAAACACGGTGCACCAACAAATTTCAATGGAAAGATTCGCAAAGCTTTGGATTTAAGGCCACCAGAAAACTTTTCTATAGCCGCATCATTGTAACCATTTTTGTTTCCTAGATAAATCTGGAATAAAACAAAAAAATTGATTTTCGTGTATTTGCAGAGCAAGGTTAGAGAAAAGAAAGGTTTGTTTAACGCTGTCCAGAGGAGAGTAGTTTATGCATTGTCTATGTATCTCTTCAAATCATGCACATAGCTACAATTTAAACTTTATAATCAAATGCAAGAGTCCTTCGTAGTGCAGGAGTAACCAAGACAATCAACACAGTGACGTAGCTAGCCCACAAATTTGGTCGTGCTATATGTAAATTTCTCAGAGCTCACTAACTGTAAAACAATAGATCTCTAAAGAAATGAATAATGATAATGATCTGAAATTTACATAGAACCAGCAATTTTGCGTGCCGGCTACACCACTGAATCAACATCTGCACACAAGTTTGTATATAAATAGCAATTTAAAAGTTTACTTAGTTTATAACTTCATTCCTTTTTAAATTTCCCTTTAAATTTATAATATACAAATTCGATAAGTCTACTGTTACCTTCTGGGATTTTTCAGATTTCCAGTTCACACCATCAATGTTTGTCTGCAAGTGATATTTAGTTACAAAGCTTGAACTTGAACTGTCTCCAAAGATAGTGATAACGTTAACTGTATAAAGACTCGGAAAATTCAGTTGAAGATAATGACTGCCATTAGCAGCAGGAGCACACCATGAACTACCACTGGATATTCTTGCTTTAGCAGCACTACGACTCTTTGGGAAGGCAGTAAACCAAGAATCTGGGAATTTTTCTGCGTTTTTAATAGAGGATTATCACAAACATGACCTTAAATAGAAAAGGATTTGGTTGAAATGCATTATAACATTAGAACTGGTTTGATTTGATAGAGAGCAATGGTGCACTCTCATATTGTTCTCCATTCACGTAAAATTGGAAAAATTAAAACTGTTTTCTTAAGAAAGAAAAAGAGCACAAGATATATTGGAGGAATACGACTGATTTTGCATGCTTTTATTAAATAAGGTTAAATTCCAGTTGGAATCAAGCCAGCTATGACAAGAAACCGTAAGTATCTTGTCAAATAACAACAATACCGTAGCGATTTAAATTCCATTAAAGAGTGAACGTCAATCGTATTGCAGAGGAATGACAATTGGACATTTTTTGAAGCACGAAATGAAGTAGCAAGAGTAAAATTAATTTAATCCTCAGTATTCGCAGCAATCCTGTTTTAATTATTTATTATTTAAGAGTAGCAATCGTTTATATTTTGTGATGCTATATTTCTTTTGTTATGTAAAAGAAGAATTGTGAAATTCTCCAAGTCAGCGTAAAATACAGTGACACTACGATGTCAGATGTAAGTCTTGATGATAGAGGTAAGTCATGATGCTTAACAATAGACAGATGTAAGTTGAGAACACAAAAGTAACACATTCATTCCTTAAATTCTTCGCTAAAAATCTTTTTCTAACGTCATACAAATGTGTCCTACAATACGTTAATACATTCAAAAAATTGAATGAGAATGCTTACATGTAACGTACGAGTATTGAGAGCAATCATTATTTTGAATGATAGCACATTGAGATAAATCGTTCACTCGAGCATCACATTTGACATTTCCAGGTATAAACGATTGATTCCTCAAAGATGATAATGACATTGAGCCTTCCACAGATACTGCGGTAGGATAACCAAGTTGTTTACAGATAATCGTCTTTATTTCGTGCAAAAGACTGTTGTTGCATATGGTGAAGTTTCTATACTTGGTAATAACATTCACGACACCTTCGTCCGGAAGATTCGACTTAGACAGGCGTACATCAATAACTACACAAATCAAAATTATTTTTTCCTTTAATTATGATCATAACGCTTATCTTAAAGTGAAATCTGTGTTTTTAGAAGTGGTTTTATGAACATAAATATGACAAATCTCGTCCATGAATAAAATATATACATGGAGTTTGAATATCAGAAGAACACAGAAGGTGACATTAACTTAAAAAAAATTTTAGTTTGAAAGCACTTGACCAGAAATGTTTTCCACATTCTGATGGACACAGTATCTTATAGATTTACACTTTAAGTTGGTAAGCACTGTTTTGATTTTATTCTTTAAGTTGACAATGAACTACAGGCAAATAAGTTGAACTGAGAACTTTTCTCTTGTGTTGTAAACACGAATCACAACAAAATGTGTCTAAGTGATTATGTGAATCATTAATGAAACCAGAACAAATACCGTTTTTTATAGGTGAGCGCTGCGTTTAGCTTCCCAATTCATAGGAATTGTAATGAATCTATCTTTGTATATATATACAGTATATGTAAAAATTCTGTAGTGTGAAGTCATGAAAATATGAATACAAATGCAATTGTAAATGTCACTTTTGGCCTACATAGAATGGCCAAAAGATTTTAAAAGAAATAGATTTGATAAATCAAATTGACTGGAAGAAGATATGTTTCCATGAACAAAGTTTGCATTAACAAACTAAAAACACAAAATTCACCAAACCATTAAACTTATGAAAATATTTAGGACACAAGTTTAAATGTCACATTATAAAAAGACACTAAATTATACAATACGAGATAAAACTGCATAAACAAACCACGCCTGGTGAAGACACCCGACGAAAATTCAAATTTGTGTCAACTTTTCTAAATTGATAACGTACATAGTATAAAATGAGCACCATACCATTGCGCATTAAGGTCAAAACTTGTCCCGAAGCTCTTTAATAATAAGCAAAATATAATCTGCCCATATAATACTTACGATTGCAAATTTTTCTGTATGGCATACTTGTGTAGTTACATTGATATTCAAAGTAAAGATATTTCTCCAAACCAGGACAAATATTTGAAGGGAAATGATTATCATCAACAGTTACATTACATTTTCTTTCACCATCACAGTAATTTTTAAGGTCACATGTTACATCGACACTACAATTGTAATCAAGAAATGAGCTACAAATGCTTCCTTTTCTCAATCCACGATATTCTGCAACTTTTATCACCATATATTGATTATTAGAACAACTAACGTCCGATATATTTTTTCCATCACATGTTACTGAGCCTATTAAAGACACACAAAAAATAAGTAAATTCATATCTATACAAACTTATTTGTAAATTCCTGTAAAATAAAAGTTGATTTGATAAAAATGAAGTGTGTGATGGCAGTGACTTCACTGGCGCCATTCCTATATCTGCGGCCTTGCAGTGGCTTTTAATTAGAGTTTAAGTACATATACGCTGACTGGATGAATATTTTTACTTGCCGAAATTGAATCGCTGATCTTCTTCATTTTTACAACTGACAAGTTGCAAGTGGGGCTGTGCTACTATACATTTATTAAAGCGTGAATAAAATAGACCACCCCAATTTGTTTGGGTTATGGCATTGATGGATCCACATTCTCCATTAATATTTCCATCAGATAACACCACAAAACTTCGGTATCCCACAAGACACCTTGTTTTATTCGACCTATTGATGGAGCCAGATTGTAAAAATTTAAAATAAGCTGTCTCCTCAAAACAATTCTTGGTATACAGGTAGAAAAAGGGAAAAAAACTCCCAACACACTTTCCTGACTGAACATGTTTGATGAAAAATCCATTCGTATCTGAAAAAGGACAATGATACATGATAAAATAGATTGAAAATACCACACTCTACAAAATATATATATAAAAATAATATGACTTTATGAAAAATAATTTAGCATACTGAATTCTATCAATATAGGAAAAAACACTCCAAAAAAAGGTCATCTTGAAATTCAACCTTTCTAAAGAATTAAATAAACCAATTGCTGTTGAGGGTCATTTTGAAAATAATGGCGTATGAAACAATTTAAGGCATCCAGCATGGAGCATTGAACTAAAATACATGGAACGCTACCTGTAATACAAAACCCTAATAATTTTTTAAAGCCGTGATTTTACCCCAGACACGCAAGACTTTTCCCCAGACACGAGTGTGTAGTCAATCAATTTTTACTCCGCGAGAGGAACTCGAAACACTAAACGCGCGTGTCTTGGGTAAAATCTCGCGTGTGTAGCGTAAAATATGGTTCAATTATATGCTTGATGTAGCGTTCCATGTATTTTAGTTCAATGGCATGGAGACTGAAAAATTTTACAAACAAGTTGAAAAGTGTAAAAAATCAATTAATAAAAATTTCACGGCGCACGGTCTGTTACGATGGAAAAGGGAGAGTTATGGTTTGTTTACGCAATTGAAATATTTGAAATATTTTAAGATTGTTTGCTGAACCTGATTTTTCATCTGTATAAACTCCCATGACTTTCGTTTTGATGAAAAGGAAGTTTATCTAAACACTTATACAAATTTGTGCCCAGAAAAAGTTGATGATTTAGGTTAGTATTATTCAAACTTGAAGACAAGGAATATATAATTCAATGTAAAACTGAATTGTGAACTCTGTAAGCTGTACACTCTTTTGGTGGAGTTCATTTAAGTTGTGCTGTGAAATAGTGCTCTTGATAATAAGAATACCAGAGTTGCACAATTTAAAATTCCAAACAATTTAAATAAATATCATGCCAGGGCTTATACAAAATCGTGAGGCTTTTTTACGGGTTTATAAAGGTTTATACATGCAGAGGAGAGATGCATACAAATATGTACAGGGATATTATACAGAGGGTTAATATACAACGAAATTTATTTCTACTGAAGTGATATAAGAACATTCTCCCGTTAAAAATATTTAACAATTTTTGGATTAAGTTGAGCATGATATAAAAGAATATTCAGACCGAGGTCAATTGGATATCTACCGAAGCAAATCTGAGGGGGATAGCGCTGACTGCAGTCTGATTGAAAAATTTTGCGGTTCGCTTTCGTCTATTTCCTGTAAATACGCGATGAAAACTCTCTGGACAAACAGTTTAACACTTTCGGTGTTTTTCGTCTATATTCCCGATAATTTGAGCAGAGTAAAACACTTGAAAGTCTTGATGAAGATTCTACCAAAATATTTCTTGTATATACAGTTGTCTCATAAAGAAAATTCGTCACCTACAGGTAATTTTCAATGTTTTTCTAGGTGATAGTGTATTGACAATTATTTGAAGGCTTTTAGACAATCACAATCGAGATTGCATCACCGTTGTATTATAATAATAAAGCTTAACTAGCACAAATCAATATATGAACATCTTAACCCTAACCCTCACACCCATTAACAAACAACCAAAATCTTCCAACGTGATCGTTAATGATTAAAATCAATAAACCAGAAAATAACCAAGACACGCTCTTGAATTGAGCTTTTACTCTTTTACAGGTTTACATTATAATATATGTATGACGAATTAAACATGCTTGGCTGTTCCGGGGTGTATTCTATTAGCTTTGCAACTGCAAAGAAATTCACTTAAGAGTATACCTACATGATGAATTAAATATAGGTCAAAGTGTCGTATGGATTTGAGCAAAGTTGAATATGAAGCATTATAATCACATTGGTGTACTATAAATTAAACTGACACAGGAGAAACTAATATGAACTGCCCTTGCACGTACCTGGTCGTTTTAGGTTCATGTTCATGAGAACATAACAAGTGTGACTTTTTCCACCGTATAAAACATACTTGTAAGGGTTTTCGTATTTTCCAAAGCTAGTATAACGTGTAGAATAAGAACGTTCTATTATTTCAATTATGTACTTATGTGAACACGTGAAGTAGTCTGGTTCTTTCCATTTTTCGAATAATGCTTTTATTAAAGGAGGATAATGACCATAATCGTCGTGTGACAAAACAGTAAAGTTTAAAATAATCGGGCTGCATCCACATGTCCCTAACAAAAAATTAAGTTATCTTTAACTGGTTGTCCAGAGAAAAAGAACAAGTAGAAAGTGACACTCATTTGGCCACAAAATGTTACATACTATTCACATTGAATCGAAAGTCTTCGTTAAACCCAAATAGACAATAACTATACAGACTTTATCATATAATTGCTTAAATTACTATTTTTGACTCTACTGTCATATTACTTTGCTTTTGTAACTAGACAGAGGAACAATGAACGAGATACTATTCTGCGTCAATGCTGTGAAGCTAGTGTATCCAAATTAGTAGAGTATATTAACATGTACTTTACGGGTTTAAACCATTTACTTTAGGTACCTTACTTTATTGCACTTTCTAAGAACACGGTTTTAATTACTGTTATTTAAATTAAACAGTACCTCAGTAATATAGGTGTTGTGATTGTTTGCCAAGTACATGGCCAGTTGATGCTCTGTACTTACTGTAAACTGAACTGTTGTTTACTTTACCTTCAAGAGGACATATCTCACTAAACATTTTAAATCGCTCCAAAAGATATTTCTTCTCCTCAACACAACAACGTGTACGAGTTTGTTGTGTACGATTTTGTCTACGAGTAAAGCATTTCGAATCGATTTCAATTTTGTCCGCCACAAATTTCTTCCACTCTTCCTCACAAAACTCAAGTTCTTCATTCCAACCCATTTTCATTGTGAATCCTTGACCAAATAACAGCCACAATAACCACCATATCATTAAACTCATCATTGCATAGATCCAAGGATATACAGTAAAGCTCTAAATTATAATTGATTGTTGGATGTAGGTACGTTATCACAGAAGACTTTAAATTTATATTTAGATCGACAATGACTACGTCACAATTACATCTCTGATGCAAGCAGATCACGATGAAAACGTATTTTTGAGCAATATGTGAGCATTATCTAAAAAATTCATTTCAGCAAAATTGTGTAGCGAGAATAACTGTTCAGAAATAGATCGAGTTAGTCTCATATGGCTGCATGATGGCTCTCTTATTGGTAGCCACTGTAGCTATTATATAGGTACGTGGTTATAATTTTCTTAAAATAATGAAACTTGTTTAACTTTAAATTTATGCTTTATTCTTCTTACTCTGTTCAATATAAATTTCAACTTTTTGTGTTTCAAGAGATATGTTGAACGATGAAAAAATGCCTTTTTGTGGATAGCGCTAAGGAAGTGAAGAAAGCGAGATCAAATTAAAATCAAAGCAAATCATTTATTTTAGATACAATAGATTAAAAACCCAAGACGATGTTAAAATTCTTTCTCTGAATATGAAAATAACAATTGTGCATGCAGAGCTTCCCATTAGCTATTTCATTTCAATTTCCTGTTATGTCATGATACATGTAAAAAACCTATGAAATCATAGAGCTTTTTTTCTATTGGGGAGGAAGAGCTTACAAAATAAACCAACGTCGATATTAAGGGCAGCTGAGTAGTTTTGGGTTTCAGCGTTATCTTGAGATTGCTCAAATTCTTTTATAAAAATCTACAGAAATATCACAGAAAGTCTTGAAAATAGTTTGCAGCTTTTTACATTTTTCCAAGCTTTTCGTTACTCCTTTGTTTGCAGTTATTTGTGGAGTACTAACTGCCAATGAATACTCCATAAGAATTGAAAATCTCAAGCGGATTTCTTTTTAATTTTTCGCAGGTTCCGCTGAAGAACGAATATATTTACAGAACAGTGGAATAGGGTTTGCTTTCGATGTAGTTGAGAGATTTGAGCGAAAAATATGATAATACATAAATATACGAATCAAAATATTAATGTGAAACCTGTCCTCATTGTGGTAAATGAAAAAATCTCTCCATTTACTATAAGAATCAAATCATTTGGGGGGCGGAAGTTGTGCGGTGTTTGTATTAACACTTATTTGCCAAACTAAGTCAAAGAAAAATTTTGCAGTATTAAATGTTAACAAAGCATCGAAGATAAAGAATCTTCCGTTTTACTATCAACTACATCACATCTTACCTTTGTTCTTTTATTAATTGAAAAGCGGACACAATAAGGCGACTGAAGCAATAAACCTTAAACGAACAGAGAAAAATTAAGATACATACAAGTCAGACGAACAACAGAGTTGTGGCTTTCGCAACTTTTTACTTGCAACTGCTGGCCAAGGCTGTTTCCTCGAGTGTGCAGTGCCGTATTGAATATATACAAACACTCATGCCATCTGCCCCAGTTATTCAACATTTTATAGAATTTGTTTTGCGTCAAATCCTATACATTACGAATCAACAATAATACTTTAAATGTTTGGAAATTTGGATGTTGTTGTTGGTTGACGAAGCAATGTTATAGAAGATAAAGTTATTGATATTTTAGAGAATTACCCTTTGTTTATAGCTACAAAGCAACGAAGCACAAATAATGCATCTAATGTGGGCAAACACGGCAAAAGAGGTTAATGACTTCAGGTGGCCTATGACGAAAAATTATATTGTTACAATAAAAAACGTATTTTAAGTTTTTGACTATCAACTTTACCAACAGTAAATTCAATTTTGCTGACAGTTATTAGCAAAATGTTATGCCCTAAATACAACAAATTGTGTCGGACCGAACTATACAGTAAAATTTACATAGTAATACCAGCTGTACCTTTATTGCCTACTGGTGTTTGTTTCAACGATGGACACATTACGACAGCGGCGCAAATACAGTGAAAAATGACAAGGAAAACAATGCTTCAAGGAATAATGACTTCTTTATTAAATAATGTTCAAGCGATTGGGTTTAGCATAAAGAATCAAAAACAAAATAATTTCGATATAAATTTTAACTTGGTAGCTATATGACAAACTTTTAGTTCTTGCGTTGGACGGCCACTTTCTGGATATTATATCAAACTAAAATAAAACTAGATATGATGATTTTAATTTAGGCAATTTTTTCAATTTTTTTCGTAATATATCTTTGTTGATTAGTTCTTAAGTGTTGTCCTTAAGTTTGCGTTCTGATGTGAAGAGGTGCACCGAAAACATGTAGAAACAGATAAATTTCGAAGTATCACATTAAAATTAGCTGTATTATAAGGCTTTTACTAATTGGGAAGTCTTTAAAGAGAAATATCGGATCATTTAATTCTTTATGAGCAGATTGCAGGCTCGAAGAGCGAATAAACAAGTTAATAAAAGGTTTATTATAAAGGATTATTTTAACTGAAACGAAGCCTTTCTTTACTTTTTTCTCCTCGCTGTTTTGTAAAAGTTGGCATTCTCTCCTGTTTTATTTTTGTTTTCAAAATTTTTGCTGTTTGTTTTTCGAAATTTTTTACATTTTTTTGTAAAATTACCTGTAATGAAACGCCGATATGAATAGTTATTAATCAGAGACTGTGTATGGTCATTGTCCACATTAAGTCATTAAGAGCAGAGGTAAAAACATGATTGCCTCGGGATCTTTTGTTATCACATAGACGTTTGCAGACGTATTTGCCTAATGCTCTTGAGTAGTATAGAGACTACCGGTTCTGGCGCAACCCCGGTCTGGGAGGCTGCGTACATAAGTCTGAGCGCCCCAGCCCTAGTTCGTTTACACAGTATGAAAAAACTGTGTATACATAGGTGCGACAAAAAATCGCAACGGTTCTGGCGCACTTCACACCTTGAGACCTAGTCTACACAAATCTAAGCACATAGTAAGCACATATATCGGCATAAAAATCACAAGACAGCGAATGTCAAACCCAGAACAACGGCAGGAGCCAAAGACGGCCGGCCAACCCCCCGCGCCTGTGCGGCCGGCCGTCGGGGTCTATTAGTTCTGATGTGATAGTTAGTTAGTACTCGTCGAGAGAGTTCCCCTCGAGGACCCAGTCCAACATGCGGAGGTGGGCATCTACTCGCTCCCTCGCAAGCACAACTTGCCGTTGCAGTTCCTCGGGAGCAGCCCGGAGGAAGCGGTGAGGCCACCCCCTAGATCTCATGAGCTCTTTAACTAGCTTTTCTCGGTGCCCAGGCGACTCGACATGCTTACATAGCCATTCCACATCCCTGCCGCTGTCGTTACACAAGTGGCAAACGAATTTTATAGCTTTGCCAGCCAACCACGCACGATTATGCCGCCGACCATTGAAATGCTCGGCTAAATTCATGACGCTCATAGCGCCAGTTTGACATGCCAAACACTCCATACCACCGACACTATTTCATACACACCGTTTTATTCAACTACTGGTTTTCCCTCGCGAACAAAACAGATGTTCACCGCAGTGATTTATTATGATCACAGCTTAGATCTGTAGCCCCTAGCGTGGGTGAGGTGATAAAAACTGTCAAACCAAGATGATGCAACACTGTCAATCGCGCACAAAGTTTATGTCTAGCGTGAATAGCCATCCGCCACTTGACGGTGGATTTTTTTCAGAGCGTCCATTCGCTCAAGCTGAATGCCCTCCTCACGCCCGCTCGCACGTGCAGCGCCCAACTTTGCTTTTAGCTCTCGCGTCTGTTCGCGGAGAGCTCTCTTTGTCTGGCTTCTAATTTCGTCTTTCAACGAAGCGAAGCGCTCTGCTTCGTCCAAAACGAGCTGGTACTCTCTTTCGCTGCAGTTGCCATCTCGAAGCGCTCGGCTCGTGATCAGCGAGATTGTTCGGAGCACGGTCTCAGCGGACGTCAGAATGCGATCGTGTTTTTCAGCTTTCTTCTCCAATCTGCGGCTCAACCCGACCAGCGAAAGTCTATTTATGCCCGTGGGCCTCTTCGATGGCCGGAAGTTTTACATGTCGACCCTGGCTCGGAGTTCCGCGGGGCTGTGCAAAAAAGCGTGTGAAAAAAATGGTGTCACGATTCGACGAGGTAAGGTCGGGGTTCATAGAGATCAGGGGATGGTAGAAAGATTTAACCGAACATTGGCGGAGCGATTGTTCGGTTACCAGTATCATCGCGAGCTGGCTGAGCCCGGAACTCGGAACAAAGAATGGGTATCACGATTACCTGAGGAGGCTAAAGCGCTCAATAATGAAACTACTCGTTTGACGGGTGAAAAGCCCTCCCTTGTGATTCGGAAGAAGGGCGTTAAGGCGAAATCCGCTGCGCCAGCGCTTCGTCCAGTTGGTTTCAATGAGCAACGCTTGCCATCGGATGTTTTGGTGCGGTATTTGTATGCGCCTGGCGAACTCGAGGGTGGCGAACGGCGTAGGGCGACCGATCCTATCTGGATGGTGACCTCCCATCAGGTCGAGCGGGCTGTGGTTGTGGCTGGAAGCCCGTATTGTATTATTTGTTTGATGGGCCCAAGCGCGCGTTTGTGCGCGAGGAGCTCTTAGTGATGCCCTTTGGGACCGAAACACCGCCGGCTTAGACGATGGGGTCCTGTCACGCATTTTATGAAAACTCCTTTCACTACCAGGAGTTTAGCCGTGGAGCAGCTCTTCTACTGTAATAATCACAGCATAATTACGCATTTATTATTTATTCGCCTGCAGACCGGCTTCCTTATGCCCGTATGCTAGGGTAGAGATCCCATCGGCCGCGATCCAGCGCTTTGTGTCCAGCGGGCTCAACGATGTCTTGTTGACGTTGTCGCCGAAGATCTGATGCCCGCGACTGCGCAGCATATCCATACCGTGGCGGAAGCGCTTTGCTTCGAAGAGTGCCTCTTTGTACTGGGCATGACTGATATGCTTTTTCACGACGGCCTTTTTAATACCTTTGGCTTTGCGCTCCTCCAGACCATCGGCTTTCAGGATAGAGTACATCTTGGGCCTGAGCTCCACAAACTCAGCGATAGGCGCCCCAGCGCACTAGTCCTTCATTTTCCCCAGCACCTTCTTGTTGGCTGTGCTGAACAGTGGATGGTCTTTGGGATAGTTGCTGGTGTCGCACTGACCGGCGTTGCGTCTCATGTCGGCGTACACGTCCTCAGTCTGGATCTCCAGCACAAGGCTGTCGGTGTCGGTGTAGAGGAGCTCTGCTGACGACCTGTACAGCACCTTGAGATGGTTGTAGTACCAGTCAAACATCAGATGCTTCAAGAGGTCGAGAACGCTCATGCCCACGAAGAACAGCCGGTTGAGCAGCAGACTGCTTTTATTCATGTGAACGGCAGCGAGGTCTCCCGCATCACCAAAGATGAGATGCTGATTGAAAGGCTGGTAGTGGGCAATGTCAAGCCAGAGTGTTTTGACACGATCCACTACCCACCCAGACCCTTCGCGAGTGAACTTTTCCAATCTCTCCAGGATTGTTGGGAAGGCTTCATGTAGGGCTTGCGGAATCTCATGCGCCTGTAGCAGCGTGATCTGCTTTGTCCGGAACACTGGTGCTTGAAGCACTTCAGTACCATTTGCTTCATCCTTCCGAAGCTCAACCTCTACAGCCAACTGGAACTTAACTCCTCGTAGAGCTAATAGCTCCTCGACGAGTTTGCGTTTGATGTAGGGCTGGGCGTTTTTGAGGAAAGCCATCAAATCGCGTTCGGAGGGGTGTCCCTTCGGCACCTGCATTTTCCAGGCTCTCAGATGATAGCTGATAATATACTTCTTGACCTCATAATGCTCTTGACCTCAAGACAACCACTTTGTTGGATATTATCAAAGTACAATTCAACGAGCAAGAATCATTTTAATTTAGTCATTTTTACAGTTTTCTTCGTAAATTAGCTATGTTAATTAGCTGTAAAGTGTTGTTCTTAAGTCTACGTTCTGATGTGAACAGGTGGAAGGAAAAGCATGTAGAAACACATAAATTTCAAAAACCATATTAAAGTTAGTTGTATAATAACTCCTTACTAAGCAATCGCGAATTTTAAAAGAGAAATATCGGATTAGATATTTTATGTACAGACCGCGCAGGCTGGAGAGCGAGTAAGCAAAGTTAAGAAAAGGTTTATTATAAAGCATTATTTAAACTGAGACAAAGCTTTCTTATTTAAACTTTATTGTCCTCGCTGTTTTGTAAAAGTTGGCATTCTCTCCTGTTTTCTTTTTGTTTTCAAATTTTTTGCTGTTTGTTTTTCGAAATTTGTTTAGATTTGTTTGTAAAATTACCTGTTATGAACCGCTGGTTTGAATTGTTATAGATCTGAGGGACTGTATATGGTCATTGTCAACATTAAGTCATTAACAGCATTTAACTATGTAATAATATGGTGGCTTCTTGCTATCACAGGAACGTTTACTGACGTATTTCCTCATCAAAATATTCATTAGGAACGTTTAGACTAAATATTCCTCATCAGTACATTCAATAGGGACGTTTAGACTAAATATTCCTCATCAGTACATTCAATAGGGACGTTTAGACTAAATATTCCTCATCAGTACATTCAATAGGACGTTTAGACTAAATATTCCTCATCAGTACATTCAATAGGGACTTTTAGTCTAAATATTCCTCATCAGTACATTCAATAGGGACGTTTAGACTAATTATTCCTCTTCAGTACATTCAATAGGGACGTTTAGACTAAATACCCTCATCAACAATAAAACAATACGCCTATTCCTGGATTGTAAACAATTTCCACGGAATTATGAGAAAAATTGACCCACCTTATCGACCTGTGCAAACAATGGCTTTTATAAAATATTTTTTTGTATTTGACCACCAACATGGCGGCCGTGACGTAAACATGCAGCCCATGCACCTTTTATTGTTTTCAAATTTTGATTTCGTCATGTAAAATTTGCTTAAGATTCATCTTCATTTTATCCACGGCTTAATCATTGCGAATTCTTCTCTATGAAAACGTTTAATAGTTGATTTCTTTAGCCTTTAAAACCACAATACTTTGAGGGCAAGCCGGTATCATGTAAACTGCAAAACTCGGTCAAAGAAAAAATTTGCTCTATATTAAATGCTAACAAAGCAACGAGGATAAACAAACATTCCTTTTACCATCAACTGTAGCCAACGAAATTTATTACATCTTACCTTTTGTTCTTTTATTGTCTTTACGTCTTTGTTTGAAAAACGCACACAATAAGGCAACTGCAGAAATACGTCTTAAACAAACAGAGAAAATGAAGATTCGTACAAGTATGGTAAACAATAGAGTTTGTGGTTTTTGCAAAGTTTTACTTGTAAGTGCTGGCCAAAGCTGTTTCCTTAAGTGTGGAGTAGCGTGTATTGAGAATATATAAACATGCACTTATGCCGACTGCCACAATTATTTAACATTTTATTGAATTTTCTTTTGCCTCAAATCCTACCCTTTACGAATCAACAATAATACTTTAAATGTGTTAGAAAATTTGGAAACAAAGAAAAATTAAGATACATACATTGGTTGACGAAGCAATGTTATAGAAGATAAGTTTTTGATATTTTACCTCTGTTTAGACAAAGCGCCGAAGCAAAATTAATGCATCTAAACTGGGTGAACACGGCAAAACAGGTTAATGACTTCAAGTGCTAATGACATAAAATGATATTGTTTCCATAGCGTATTTTAAGTTCTTAAATATCAACTTTGGCAACAGTAAATTTAATTTTTGCTAACATTCATTGGTAAAAAATTGTAACCCCAAATACACCAATTTGTGTCGAACCAAACTATACAGTAAAATTTACAACATCAAACCAGCTTCTTTTTATTGCTTACAAGTGTCTGTTCAAACCAGTGACACAATAAGACAGCTGCACAAATATAAAGAAAAAATAGCAAAAAAATAATGCATGCAAGAATAATGACCTATGAATGAAGAATGTTTAAGTGATTGGGTTCAGCGGTAAATAATTAAAAATAATAATTTAACATTTCAATATTTATTTTAATTTGGTATATGACAAACTTCTAGTCCATGCATTGGACAGCTACTTTGTTGGATATTATCAAAATATACTACAACGAGCAAGAATCATTTTAATTTAGTCATTTTTACAGTTTTCTTCGTAACTTAGCTATGTTAATTAGCTGTAAAGTGTTGTTCTTAAGTCTACGTTCTGATGTGAACAGGTGGAAGGAAAAGCATGTAGAAACACATAAATTTCGAAAAACCATATTAAAGTTAGTTGTATAATAACTCCCTTACTAAGCAATCGCGAATTCTTAAAAGAGAAATATCGGATTAGATATTTCTTTATGTACAGACCGCGCAGGCTGGAGAGCGAGTAAGCAAAGTTAAGAAAAGGTTTATTATAAACCATTATTTAAACTGAGATAAAGCTTTCTTATTTAAACTTTATTGTCCTCGCTGTTTTGTAAAAGTTGGCATTCACTTCTGTTTTCTTTTTGTTTTCAAAACTCTTGTTATTTCCTTTAAGAAATTTGTTTCCATTTATTTGTAAAACTACATGTTATAAACCGCTGGTTTGAATTGTTATAGATCTGAGAGACTGTATATGGTCATTGTCAACATTAAGTCATTAACAACATTTAACTATGTAATAACATGGTGGCCTCTTGCTATCACAGGGACGTTTACTGACGTATTTACTCATCAAAATATTCATTAGGAACGTTTAGACTAAATATTCCTCATCAGTACATTCAATAGGTACGTTTAGACTAAATATTCCTCATCAGTACATTCAATAGGGACGTTTAGACTAAATATTCCTCATCAGTACATTCAATAGGTACGTTTAGACTAAATATTCCTCATCAGTACATTCAATAGGGACGTTTAGACTAAATATTCCTCATCAGTACATTCAATAGGGACGTTTAGACTAAATACCCTCATCAACAATAAAACAATTCGCCTATTCCTGGATTGCAAACAATTTCCACGGAATTATGAAAAAAATTGACCCGCCCTTATCGGCCTGTGCAAACAATGGCTTTGATAAAACATTTTTTTGTATTTGACCACCAACATGGCGGCCGTGACGTAAACATGCAGCCCATGCACTTTTATTGTTTTCAAATTTTGATTTCGTCATGTAAAATTTGCTTAAGCTTCATCTTCATTTTATCCACGGCTTAATCATTGCGAATTCTTCTCTATGAAAACGTTTAATAGTTGATGTCTTCAGCCTTTGAAACCACAATCCTTCGAGGGCAAGCCGGCATTATGTAAACTGCAAAACTCGGTCAAAGAAAAAATTTGCTGTATATGAAATGCTAACAAAGCAACGAGGATAAACAAACATTCGTTTTACCATCAACTGTAGCCAACGAAATTTATTACATCTTACCTTTTGTTCTTTTATTGTCTTTACGTCTTTGTTTGAAAAACGCACACAATAAGGCAACTGCAGAAATACGTCTTAAACAAACAGAGAAAATGAAGATTCGTACAAGTATGGTAAACAATAGAGTTGTGGTTTTTGCAAAGTTTTACTTGTAAGTGCAGGCCAAAGCTGTTTCCTTAAGTGTGGAGTAGCGTGTATTGAGAATATATAAACATGCACTTATGCCGACTGCCACAATTATTTAACATTTTATTGAATTTTCTTTTGCCTCAAATCCTACCCTTTACGAATCAACAATAATACTTTAAATGTGTTAGAAAATTTGGAAACAAAGAAAAATTAAGATACATACATTGGTTGACGAAGCAATGTTATAGAAGATAAGTTTTTGATATTTTACCTCTGTTTAGACAAAGCGCCGAAGCAAAATTAATGCATCTAAACTGGGTGAACACGGCAAAACAGGTTAATGACTTCAAGTGCTAATGACATAAAATGATATTGTTTCCATAGCGTATTTTAAGTTCTTAAATATCAACTTTGGCAACAGTAAATTTAATTTTTGCTAACATTCATTGGTAAAAAATTGTAACCCCAAATACACCAATTTCTGTCGAACCAAACTATACAGTAAAATTTACAACATCAAACCAGCTTTTTTTTATTGCTTACAAGTGTCTGTTCAAACCAGTGACACAATAAGACAGCTGCACAAATACAAAGAAAAAATAGCAAAAAAATAATGCATGCAAGAATAATGACCTATGAATGAAGAATGTTTAAGTGATTGGGTTCAGCGGTAAAGAATTAAGAACAACAATTTAACATTTCAATATTTATTTTAATTTGGTATATGACAAACTTCTAGTCTATGCATTGGACAGCTACTTTGTTGGATATTATCAAAATATACTACAACGAGCAAGAATCATTTTAATTTAGTCATTTTTACAGTTTTCTTCGTAAATTAGCTTTGTTAATTAGCTGTAAAGTGTTGTTCTTAAGTCTACGTTCTGATGTGAACAGGTGGAAGGAAAAGCATATAGAAACACATATATTTTAAAAAACCGTATTAAAGTTAGTTGTATAATAAGGCCCTTACTAAGCAATCGCGAATTCTTTAAAGAGAAATATCGGATTAGATATTTCTTTATGTACAGACCGCGCAGGCTGGAGAGCGAGTAAGCAAAGTTAAGAATAGTTTTATTATAAAGCATTATTAAACTGAGACAAAGCTTTCTTTACTTTATTGTCCTCGCTGTTTTGGAAAAGTTGGCATTCATTTCTGTTTTCTTTTTGTTTTCAAAACTCTTGTTATTTGCTTTAAGAAATTTGTTTCTATTTATTCGTAAAGCTACATGTTTATAAACAACTGGTTTAAATTGTTATAGATCTGAGAGACTGTATATGGTCATTGTCAACGTTAAGTCATTAACAGCATTTAACTATGTAAAAATATGGTAGCGTCTTGTTATCCCAGGGACGTTTACTGACGTATTTCCTCATCAAAATATTCATTAGGGACGTTTAGAGTAAATATTCCTCATCAATAATAAAACAATTCTGAAGTGAACAGGTGCACAGAAACACGTAGAAAAACATAAAATAAAACTCAACATCCGCTGCATTATAGGGCCGTATTTAACAAATCGGAAGGTTGGGTAGCATTGCATGCTTAATAGGATGTTATAAGAAATAATCATATTTACATAAGGTGTTAGAATACAAAATGAGACGGTGTCAAATAGATTATATAAATTACGAAGTTAGGAAGCAAAATATAGTGAAATTAAAAAAGTTGAATAGAACTGCCTTGGACAGGTGTTAAGTCATAGTAAAGGAAACATACCAAAGGTCCAATTTGCTGAGAAACTTGCTACTGTACATATAATTAGGTAACAGACTGCCGTTAGCAGGCTCAGCACTCCTATTACTCAAAAAAGGTCAATTTACTAGCTGCCAATATAGTAATCATACGCGCAATGAGATATACGTAGCACAAAAAAATTCAATGGACTTGCTCTACTGTATTTTTACTATACTGTCGATAAGTGAAGACTTGTAGCTATTGACTATGAGGTTCTCATTAAGGGAGAGTTTGTATGAATCGTGAGAAGAGGAAATTCTTTCAAAGTCGTCCATGTTGGAGGTATCTCCAGATATATTTATGTTAGCAAAAATGCTCGATAACGCAAGGCGTGACGTTTGGTTACCTTCAAATGGATATATTCTCATGTGCTCCGAAAATCCGATGTGAAAATGACGCTTTATTTGACCCACATACAATACGTACAGCTATAACACTTTAATGAACACACAACATCCAATCTCTGAGGTTTGAGATTTTTTCCTAAAAGGGGAAGAAAGAAAATAGACGTTAAGAAAGGTGGAAAAAAGTTTGGTACCAACTACCTAGTTCAATCTTTCGGTGGGTGTTCCTGCCAGTGTTGAAAAACAAGGAGAGGGTCTGACAAAAAACTATAAGAGAGGATATGTTTTTCGATCACATGAATTTTTCTTGTTTTGTAAAATCTTGTGTCGTTGCTTCCAACCCATTTCTTTTTTTTTCGTTGATCTCTAGTCTACAGCAAAACACAATGCTCCTAGCACTCTTGCAATCAAATCATCAGAAAATTCAATTAATTCGATAATTTTGGATGATTTTATAATGAATATTATAATGGGGATAATAAGCGAAAATAGGAAAGGACAAGAACAGCAACATTTTACTACCACTAACATAGTTGGTAAGAAAGTAAACTCCATCCATTAAAACTTCTTCTTTCTTACGTCAGGTAAATTAACGAGATGACAGTGTGTACATATTCATACATATTCCACAGACTCCAAAATTATGAATGTATGAAATTCCCTCCCCCCAAGAAAATTAAATTACTGAGCATGCTACGCCACTGTTTGTTTGTAATTTAACTTTATTTCTTATTTAATGTATTTAGATAAAAAGTATTACAGCCGTTATCCTATTTCAAATATTGACTTCATCCTTATTCTAAAAATTTGATGTTATGTTCCAAATTGTTTTCAAATACTGTTCAGAATCATTCACTCTCGTTCACTCTTATAGTTAAAAAGGAAATAAATTTTATGTTTAATTATATTCTTTTATAGTACGCTAAATTTCAGAAAACGCCTAATAATTTCTCGAAAAAATTCAACTTCCTATATTTTTGAGAAATTTTAGTAGACGTCAAATGATCATAGTGAAGCCTACAGCGAAGATTGTCAATACTCTGGTTATACGGTTGATAAACTATGGTGACTATATGATTGGTTGATACACTATGGTGACTATATGATTGGTTGATACACTATGGTGACTATATGATTGGTTGATACACTATGGTGACTATATGATTGATTGGATGATACACTATGGTGACTATATGATTGGTTGATACACTAGGGTGACTATATGATTGGTTGATACACTATGGTGACTATATGATTGGTTGATACACTATGGTGACTATATGATTGGTTGATACACTATGGTGACTATATGATTGGTTGATACACTATGGTGACTATATGATTGGTTGATACACTATGGTGACTATATGATTGGTTGATACACTATGGTGACTATATGATTGGTTGATACACTATGGTGACTATATGATTGGTTGATACACTATGGTGACTATATGATTGGTTGATACACTATGGTGACTATATGATTGGTTGATACACTATGGTGACTATGATTGGTTGATACACTATGGTGACTATATGATTGGTTGATACACTATGGTGACTATATGATTGGTTGATACACTATGGTGACTATATGATTGGTTGATACACTATGGTGACTATATGATTGGTTGATACACTATGGTGACTATATGATTGGTTGATACACTATGGTGACTATATGATTGGTTGATACACTATGGTGACTATATGATTGGTTGATACACTATGGTGACTATATGATTGGTTGATACACTATGGTGACTATATGATTGGTTGATACACTATGGTGACTATATGATTGGTTGATACACTATGGTGACTATGATTGGTTGATACACTATGGTGACTATATGATTGGTTGATACACTATGGTGACTATATGATTTGTTGATACACTATGGTGACTATATGATTGGTTGATACACTATGGTGACTATATGATCGGTTGATACACTAGGGTGACTATGATTGGTTCATAAACTATGGGGACTATATGATTGGTTGATACACTATGGTGACTATGATTGGTTGATACACTATGGTGACTATATGATTGGTTGATACACTATGGTGACTATATGATTGTTGATACACTATGGTGACTATATGATAGGTTGATACACTATGGTGACTATATGATTAGTTGATACACCATGGTGACTATATGATTCGTTGATAAACTATGGTGACTATATGATTGGTTGATACACTATAATGACTATATGATTTGTTGATACACTATGGTGACTATATGATTCGTTGATACACTATGGTGACTATATGATTGGTTGATACACTATGGTGACTATATGATACGTTGATACACTATGGTGACTATATGATCGGTTGATACACTAGGGTGACTATATGATTGGTTGATACACTATGGTGACTATATGATTGGTTGATACACTAGGGTGACTATATGATTGGTTGATACACTATGGTGACTATATGATTGGTTGATACACTATGGTGACTATATGATTCGTTGATACACTATGGTGACTATATGATTGGTTGATACACTAGGGTGACTATATGATTGGTTGATACACTATGGTGACTATATGATTGGTTGATACACTAGGGTGACTATATGATTGGTTGATACACTATGGTGACTATATGATTGGTTGATACACTATGGTGACTATATGATCGGTTGATACACTAGGGTGATTATATGATTGGTTGACACACTATGGTGACTATATGATTGGTTGATACACTATGGTGACTATATGATTGGTTGATACACTATGGTGACTATATGATTTGTTGATACACTATGGTGACTATATGATTGGTTGATACACTATGGTGACTATATGATTGGTTGATACAATTAGGGAGGTACAACTTGAGGGGGAGTAAATTTTTTTGACGGGGATGGGTTGATAAAATACTCATAGACGAGGAGGGGTAAAGGTCAAACCATAACTCAAAGCAATTAACATTTGCCATCACAGTGATAAAGGTAAACAATTTCCCGCTAAATTTGGAGAAATGGCTTTCTCATGACGCAGTCTAAACACTAGCAAATGTAAAGGAGAATTAAAACTTACTCTTTCTCTGACATTGCATCCATTGCTGCTTTCCACTTCCTTGATGAGATGAATTTCCGTTGCTCTTCTTAAAGAATCACGCCGATCTGCACGAAAAGAAGAGAGATGTATCGCTTGACTGAGTGGCTAAAAGATGGAAGCGTGCTTTATATTCCCGATATCACGGGGAAAATTTGTTAATTTCTTTCATTGTATGGACATGTTGCCATATCCAACTGGAAACACTCAAAGGAAAACTATAGTTTGAAAGCTTGGTTATTCTGTAAGGTACATACACGTTTGGTATTTTCTTCAAATGTTCAGACATGCACGTTAAACAAGACACCAAAACATTCAATCAACAATAAGGAGGACAACGAACTAGTTTAAAACAAAATGTTACGTCTAAACATGGTAATGTCTAAGCAAAGGAAGACTAGTTGAAGTTTTAAAGAATTGTCGATGGAGCACCCATTGATACAGTAACAAAGTTATTTTTAACTAAGATTAGATATGAGGCTGAAGTAGGGAGTAAAGTAAAACTTCATATAAGAGCCTAGATTTTAACAACCAATTAGGCTAATATTTCAGAAGGAAACTTAAACTGATCTAACTTTATTTATACTAGATATCTCTATCAGTTCTGAACAGTTCTTACTGTAAAGATCATCTCTTATTGATCCAGTGTTACTACAGAAAGAGACCTAAACTAAACTAACTTTCTTTAGACTAAATATCTCTATCAGTTCTAAACTTTTCTTTCTAATGATCCAGTAAAGATCATATCTTATTGATCCAGTGTTACTACTAAAGGAAACCTAAACTAAATTAACTTTATTTTTACTAAATATCTCTATCAGTCCTAAACATTTCTTTCTTATGATCCTGTTAAGATCATATCTTGTTGATCCAGTGTTACCACAGAAACAAACCTGAACTAAACCAAGTTTATTTATGTTAGATATCTCTACCAGTTCTAAACTCTTCTTCCTAAAGATCCAGTAAAGATAAGCTCTTATTGATCCAGTGTTACTACAGAAGGAAACCTAAACTAAACTAACTTAGTAATTTAATATTTATATTTTGTGTACGATTCCCGCCTGGTTTATCGATCGTAACTTAATCTATATATACTAGATATCTCGATCATTCTTAAACTGTTCTTCCCCTAGTTCAACAAAATCATCTCTCATTGATCTTGCACATGTTGAAATAATACCAACAGTTACAACAAACCATATTTACCTGTAGCAATTTTAAAACCAACAACATCCCAAGTCAAGACGGTGAACTCCCCCAAGACATCTTTCTCCCAATATGGCAGCTGTGAACTACCATTGCTTGTGTTGTACAATATCACACCATTTAACGGTTCCTGTCTTTTTGTCCGACAATGTACTTTCTCGATGGTGCCTTGAAATGTGTCTTTGCTCACATCATCAAACTTCACTGTACCTTCTGGTAGACGCTCCACTGAGACTGCAACTTCTTTACCTGACAAAATAATTCGCCAAGTTTTTACAAACAAATTTTACGAATTTCCAAAAATAAACTTGTTGCTGTCGTCAGCTATCACAAAAATACGTCAGTTGAGTCACGTGACTCGTTTGCAGACCGAAAATTTTCAATCCTACGTCAAATGCCAATCAGAAGTCATCGTGTGTAAAATAAATTACAAATGATCAAATCGTATACATAAGTGAAATAACTGATAAAACTCATTTTGTATTAAACAATAAATTATCAATATTGATCTACAGGAGCAACTGCAACAGCCCAAACACAAACCTCGTTCACTTTGTCAGCTCTGTCGATGAAACCAAAAGATTCCTTGAGCGAGCAGACAATCCTTGAACGTAAACAGGAGGCGAAGCTTCGAGCAGCAACAACTCCACGGCACAGCATTGTCCATTTCTATAGAGGTTTATGAACTGTAGCAGTGCATCAAACAAACAACAATTTGGACATGGCTCGTAAATTGGACATGGTTCGTGTAAATAATAAAGTAACGTTTATGTTATAAGCGTTAACCAAAGCGTTTTCTTGTGTAAGGTAGCATATCAAAACGTAGAAATAAGGAGAAAGACTTCACCAAAATAGAAAAACATTCTTAAGACTGTGCATTCATTGCTTAACCACGTAATGTAATGCACGTGATGAAGCACGTGATACAATCTAGAGAAACAGTACAAGCTTTCGACGCTATAGCAAAGAATATAATTTATCTTTTGTTTTCCAGGATGTAAAAAGACACAGTATCACTTTTGTAAATGTGCGACTTTGATAAAACACCAGCTTGATAATGTGGAAGAAAAACAATTCCTGAAAGAAAAGGAACAACGGTTAGAATCATAAAGATCCACCCCCTAACCGTGCAGACCTGTATTATGCAATGATCTTAAACTCCACCCCCTGATCATGCAGACGTTTACTATGCAATGATTTTAAGCACCACCCCTGACCGTGCAAACCTGTATTATGCAATGATCTTAAACTCCACCCCTGACTGTGCAGACCTGTATAATGCAATGATTTTAAACACCCCCCTGAACGTGCAAACCTGTATTATGCAATGAACTTAAACTCCACCCCCTGATCATGCAGACGTTTATTATGCAATGATTTTAAACACCACCCCCTGACCGTGCAAATCTGTATTATGCAATGATTTTAAACCCCCGACCGTGGAAACCTGTATTATGCAATGAACTTAAACTCTACCCCCATAACAGTGCATACCTGTATCATGCAATGATCTTAAACTCCACCTCCCTGACCGTGTAGACCTGTATATTGAAATTATCTTAAACTCCACCCCCTGACAGTGCATACCTGTATCATGCAATTATCTTAAACTCATCTCATCTGATCTAATCCTAATCCCATATTGCAGTATAATTTCAACTCATCAAGGGCGAGAATACAGTGGCGCTATAATAGCCTCGATAATTGTGGGGTGGGAGGGTAGTCAATGTTTATGTAGGTATGCATGTCAAAAGCCTAAAAATTAATTTAATACGGCAAAATATGCATAGCAAGCTATGGTGTGGAGGGAACGATCAAAATCCAAAAAGGAAATAACGGCGAAAACCTGTTTCAAAAAAGATGAAGGAAATGTCAATAATTTGCAGGCAGTAATCTACAGTTTCCCGTATCGTTACGTCACTAACTTTCTTGACAGTTTCAATTTTGGGATTTTTGCCCAAAGCAAATATTTTGCTCACTGGTGTGTTCTATATTTATTGCCCAATCGATAAATGTTCGATAAAGATGTTGAGTAAAAGTCTGATACTTTTATATTTTACATTAATTCTTCTCTCTCAAACCCCCAAAAAAATGACTTAAGTATAAAAGTTAGCAACGTGAAGATGAATAAAAAATGGAAGAAGTTCAAACAGTACTTACTCCGTTCACTTTATAACTAACGCGACCACATTCGGACTCGCCATTGCGAAATAACTGCTACAAAAATAATGATGAAACTCTTTGAAAACGACATCACAAACATTCAAAGTACAATAAAACAACAGGAATACGCAACTCAAAAAATTCATACACGACCATTAAAGTGGTACTATGACGAAAATTTTGCCTCTCGTTTTTTTTTCATAGATTAATAGTGTATGTAAAAAAATCTCTTCTGGCGAAATTTTAGCGCAATGTATTTCATGCTGCTCGAGTTACGGAGCGATAAAACTTGAACTTTAAGAGCCGCCATTAAAATGCGCCATATTTGAATTTTCAAAAAGGAAGGTGCTTGTGACGTCATAGTCTTAACTCGCGGCTGTTTACAATATAACACTATATACAAATAGAGATTTAAAGGTTGTATAACTCAATTTTTAACATGCCTTCAACACGCTGTGTCGTGCAAGATTGCAGTAACAAGTCTGATAGAATTACAGGCATTTCATTACATAAAAGCCAAAACGACGAGTCTTTGAGAAGAATTTGAGTTAAATTTGTTCAGACGAAGCGCGCAAACTTTAATCCGAGTTCGCGCGAAATTCGATTTATGATTTGTTCGAATCACTTCTCGGATGATTGTTTTGAGCGTTTATTCCATTTGGGTGGTATGACTAGACGGCTCAAACCTGGTGCCGTACCTACTATTTGGAAGAAATCACAAACACCAACAACGTCAAGAGAGCGGCATCAGGTTAGCACAAGTTGCAATTATTATATACTTACACTTATTGCAGATGATAAATTTTCACAATTTGAGAGAACCAATAATACATCCAGGCAAACTTTCAATATATAATATACATTTATACTAAGGTTTTAAAGGAAATACAAAATGAAGTGTCTGTATCATGCGATGACCTTTGGTCTTTAAACCTAACGAAGCTGCTTGAAGAACAAATTCGTTCAGGCAAACTTCGTTAAAGCCAGGGTGATCCAAAATGCATTTCCTTTCATCGATTTCGAACTGATACATTTTGCCACGGCATTGCTCTATTTCCATGCAGCATCGGCACTCTTGAGGGTTGACAACAAGATCCAACGAACAATGGCCACATTCACATCTTTAATATTGGCCAAATTGTATGTTTCCATAAAGTTATCATAGCTAACGGCAGACGATTCAGATCAAAGTAAAACACTAAGAATGACATCTTACCATGAAGTAACATCAACACGGGCATCAAAACGATCTTGCAGCATGTCCTCAACCAGCTGTTCTTCTGCGACTGCAGCTTCGTACTCAGCAATTTCATCGGGCGAAGCAAGCGGTTCAATATTATCGGCAAATGGCAAAATTTCCGAATTAGATTCGTCCGAATTTGCCGTCATGAATTCCGATGAAGAAATCGATGCGTTTGTCTCGATCGAAGACTCAGAAAGCGAGCTAGATCTCGATGAATTTGACATGTTTTTGCTCTATTTATGACATTTTTTTGCTCACTTTCCAATGTGCGCTTCTTGCTGTGTTAAGACTATGACGTCACAGACTTTGCTGATTGCAAATATTCAAAATGGCCGATTTCAATGGCGGACATGAAAATTAGACATTTCAAATGTTCATAACTCCCTCGTTATACTATTATTTTTGCTTAAATTTTACGAAAGCAATAATTGATATGTGTTTAAACTATTGAATGCTAAAATCGATGATTTTTTAACGTTCAGTTTTCGTCATAGTACCACTTTAACAACGAGTAATTTTAAAGCAATATGCATAATGAACAGTGGTGTAGCAAGCACGATAACTGGGGGGAGGGGGTGAGCACACATCTATATATTCCACATATGCATGTCCTGCCGTATTGAGTTCTATTGTGTTACATGCATAAAGACGTGCATAGATGAATTTGTTATCTACCCACCCCTCCCCATCCCTTAATTAACGCGTTTGCTTCGCCACTGACTATTACATTTTCCCAGCTAATTGATCACGATGAAAATCACCTGTTTGGGGTAGCTGTGTCTCGACAACCTCGCCTCAACTTCCACTTTACCAACAACTCTTTCCTCGCTTTTTCCTACAAAGGAAACATAAATGGATGATTCACCAAAAGATTTCTCAATTTCTCGTAAAACTTTGTAAACCAAACCAGGATGAACGTGCATACACGGCAAGCGTCAAAAAGTACACAAGGTGTCAAGGTCACTTACTTCAAATGTAACAGAGCCTTGTTCCAATTTCACCACTCGACATGCAATTGGTTTACCCTTACGAGAATCTGATGTCACTTCAAACTCCACACAGTCTAAACAAAAAAAGATTTAATCAACTATCAATATCAATCGAAATGTTCTTTACACTTCAGATAATAGCACAGAGCAGTGGCCTTTGCAGTAGCAGTAGAAACAAGATGATAGGCGGGGTGGGGCGGATGGTGAAGGATTACAGTGTGAAACTCCCCAACAAGTCAATGATCAGTGGTTTGTTCTGACTAGGTAAATAAACAAAAGTTCTGTTTCGTTTTACCCCACAATAAAACAAAGACTATACATGAGTTTGAAAAGTTGTTTTAACTAACACTAACATTTGGACACACATTTTGCAGACAGAGTCCTTCAGAATACCCATCACATTCACATTAAAAAGACAGAACAGTGCAAGTTAGAATAGCAAAGAACACCCTCATACAACATCGTGAAGGCACGTGAATGCCACGTGTTGATAACATGAACTGTGGTGGGATTCAGATGGTGGAGATCAAATTTTAAAAGTATACCAACAAAGGCATGCCCTGGAATCTCCATAGAAATCTCATGCCTTGAGGATGAGCTTCCTCTCATATGTCATAAAGTGTCACCACTGATTATGGTAGGGAGTGAAAAGTCATATGAGGAAACCCAATGAATTACTTGACAAAGAATGCTTTTCAAATAATGACTGATGAAACAAATGCTCTGAATAACTGGATAAGCCACAAAACAGCTTGTTCCCTTATTAAATAGCAGAAAGGCAACAAGCCTCATACTTGAATGAAATTATATCAACGTTTCAGAAAAACAATATAATACTAATGGTGTAGTTGCACACATAACAAGTAATATAAGAGTCGTTGAAGGGTGAAAATAAGCAAAATTTACAAACCACCAAGTTCCAGTTCACTTGAATGTCCTTTGTACTGACTGTAATGAAAGAACACTCAAGATCCTGTTCAGCACACTCAATAAAGCCATAACTTTGCTGCAAAAAAACATGCATAAATGTTATAGAAGAAAGACTGAATGTGCTTTTAGAGGGGATGAAATTAGGGAATATATATCAATAACATTATGGAAGATGTCATTAATACACATGTTGATGTCAAAGCACTCATTGCCTGTCAAATGTAGTTCAATACAGTTAAATGTAGATGAATGTATTCAAATGTGTTTGAATGTACACAAAAGTAGATGAATGTATTCAAATGTAGATGAATGTATTCAAATGTAGTTGAATGTACACAAAAATAGATGAATGTATTCAAATGTACATGAATGTATTCAAATGTGGTTGAATGTACACAAAAGTAGATGAATGTATTCAAATGTAGATGAATGTATTCAAATGTAGTTGAATGTACACAAAAGTAGATGAATGTATTCAAATGTAGATGAATGTATTCAAATGTGGTTTAATGTACATAAAAGTAGATGAATGTATTCAAATGTAGATGAATGTTTCCAAATGTGGTTGAATGTACACAAAAGTAAATGAATGTATTCAAATGTAGATGAATGTTTTCAAATGTGGTTTAATGTACACAAAAGTAGATGAATGTATTCAAATGTGGTTGAATGTACACAAAAGTAAATGAATATTTTCAAATGTGGTTGAATGTACACAAAAGTAAATGAATGTATTCAAATGTGGCTTAATGTACACAAAAGTAGATGAATGTATTCAAATGTACATGAATGTATTCAAATGTGGTTGAATGTACACAAAAGTAAATGAATGTATTCAAATGTACATGAATGTATTCAAATGTGGTTTAATGTACACAAAAGTAGATGAATGTATTCAAATTTAGATGAATGTATACCAAAGTGGTTGAATGAATTCAAATGTGGTTTAATATCCTCAAACAGGGTGCAAATTAATATTACACAAATGGGCATGTGAATTTCAGTTGAAGGTATTTTCACAATCTTAGGTTAAAAATTGATACAATATCTGTCATGTTGGATTTAAGTGCCTATGTTGAATAATGGGACTTGATATCATTAGAATTATCTTAAAACATAGATTACTGGGGCAAACAGTCCAAATGCAAGTTTCAATAGAAAGCTTTTCAAATTGACCAGAACAAAAAATTAGACACCAAACAGTGCAAAACGGTTACAGCTTCCTCTACAAAGGCTATTGAAATCAAAAACATTTTTGGCAAACTTTTAGATATCATGCAAATGCACTTTTAGATGAACAAAGTGACATATTTTTTGTGTATTAAGAAACAAGTTTTTTGGTCATAGATAAATTTTTTACTTCTTCATGGTACATCTTATTTTTATCTTGCAGGAACTTACTCTACAAAAGCAACACCTTTGTAAAAACAGCAGAATCTGCAGCAAACCTTTGCATTTCTCAATGTCACATAATGATTCATGAAAAAATTTAAAATAATTGAGAAGCATTTTTTTTTGCAGTAATTTGGGTCCTTGACCAGTGCATAAAAACTTCATACTAAACTGACTTTGAATTGTTAAAATAACTTACACAAAGTTTTTCAATGACACCTGTTTCCCTGTGTCTTACATGAACACCATTTGAAAGGTAATGGTCACTGATACCATAGTCCTGAGACCTATTTGTTCACATAGAATGTTTCTAAGTAGTAAAAATACATTATAGAATGTTTCTAATTAGAAGGAAAACATTATAGAATACTTCTAATTAGTAAGAAAACATTATAGAATGTTTCTAATTAGTAGGAAAACATTATAGAATGTTTCTAATTAGTAGGAAAACATTATAGAATGTTTCTAATTAGAAGGAAAACATTATAAAATGTTTCTAATTAGTAGGAAAACATTACAGAATGTTTCTAATTAGTAGGAAAACATTATAGAATGTTTCTAAGCAGTAAGAAAACATTATAGAATGTTTCTAATTAGTAGGAAAACATTATAGAATGTTTCTAATTAGTATGAAAACATTATAGAATGTTTCTAATTAGTAGGAAAACATTATAGAATGTTTCTAATTCGTAAGAAAAGGTTATAAAATGTTTCTAATTAGTAAGAAAACATTAACAGCAAAATGAAATGAAAATAAAATTTTTCATAAACAAAATGCAGTAGAAAGTACCTTCCATGAGTCTGTTGCCATATTTGATTCACCAAAAAGAGAATTCTATTTGTTACAAAGGATGCCAGCAATTTGAATTATAACTTTTTGCAAAATAATATATATGGTATATGTATAAAATTCTCCTCTCAATTTTCCTAAATCACCAAATAATATAATCCATTTGCCGAACAAAACAGGAGGCACAAATCTGCTGTGAATATTTAAGATTGTTCCGTGTAAGCTATGACTTGCCAATATGAAAGTTTCCTTAACATGGGCTGTGCAAGATGATATGGATTTGGCGCTTTCTCTATAGAATTTGAATTGGCTTTCCTCATCTTTTTCTGCAGACATTTATTCCTAGCAAATAACCAGAAAAAAGTAATTTAACACATTTCTTTAAATATATCATTTGCTCATCACCTAATAACATGGGACATTCAATTACATGTTTTGACTTATCAATAGTGCTGTAGAATATTTATCATCAAGAGCAGCAGTTAACAATCAATAGCACAACATGTATATACATACTTTGTAAGAAAAGACAAGTGCAGTGTCGTGATTGCAACAGACAAATGTGCAACAGTTTATACCTATTACAACAGACTATCTGTTGCACAACACATACATTTGTTTATTTAAATGTCTTCTTATCCAAATGATTCAAACTTTTCTTGAATTGAATGCGCATTAATGCGACTTGAATATTAACAATTGCTAAGCAGTATAAATAAATGCTATTGTCTACTGGAGCTCTTGATTCTTCCTTCAAGTTAATGAACATTCTACTGTTCTACTGTTAAGTAAAATAGCATAATTGAATGTTCAATCTTCTTTAATAATGAGCGAATGGTGTAGCAGGAGTAACAAGTGACAAATCCCACAAAATACTTTACAATAGTGAATAGTACGGAATGAAGACACTGCACTGGATTTCTTGTGATAAAGACTTTAATTTTTATATACAGCAACATAGCTATTGTAATTATACAAAAGATCAATCTACACTAAAACTGGAACAGATAAGGACATAAGTTTCGACATCAAATCAATTTCCACAAGACACTAAACACCAGACAAAAAATATGTTAAAACTTTCAACATGAATCACATCAGATAAAAGCGACTCATAATTTTGAAGTCAAACATACAAATATCATGTCCATATAAATCAGACAAAAGACACGCTTTTATTTGTATCTTTAAAAGAGTCGAGGCACATCTAAAGTTCTTTTCAATTTGGAAACTCAATGCTGAAATTCACTTCTTGAAGACATCAAATATCAAACGAAAAACTTTTTCATCAGAATATCAAATTGCTTGTCAGTCTTTGTTTCTTAATTTATTTCAATAATGGTCATTTGAAGAAACTGTAGCGTATAGTTTTAATTAAATTGGTTGCCGCAAAAGCAAAAAACAAAAGGAAGAATACGAATAGCACACAAATACAGGCAAGGAGAATATTTTGCCGTCTGCTGAGTCTTTGTTAATCGGCTTTGTCTCGAAACATGGTGACTAATGATTGTCAATTTAAAAGGTCAAATTAACGCCAACGGAGTACAAGGTGAACAAAAATGTAATGAAATATTTAAGAACTGACAATTGATATTGAAAAAGAAATCAATACCTTTTTGAGGACAAAATTTCGTCCGTAACCACAACACTATTCAAATTTTTACAATCCGCCATATTACATGATATCAGTGAACTCTTGAAAGTTGAAACACCGGGCACTTCCGGTCATCTGTATATGTGACGTATTAACCGGAGATACTCGTGAGAGGGTCGGCTATGTTTTCCGTGACTATAGCCTGATTCGCTGTTTCGCACAAGTCTTCAATACCCTCATAAAGATACCTTCATGTTTCATTGTAATTGCCTCGTATTTCTGTATTTGTAACAAGTTGATATTTTCCGTAAATAAAGCATAATTCGAAAGCAAATGTAAATATGGCCGCGTTTAAACAGAGATCAATCTTTCGGTGGTGTTCAGGCCGGTGTAGAAAAACGAGGAGAGGGGTTAACAACAGACTATTCATTAACGATTTGATTGTCACCAATTAACTTGAAACCACTCGGCTCCTTCCTTAGTATTCAACCAAAGGATGTGTTTTGCAATAGAGCTTTCTGACACATACATTTTTCATGTTTTTTAAAATGTCAAGTCGTTGCTTCCAACCCATTTCTTCTTCTTCGTTAATCACTAATCTACAGCCGAAGTACAACGTTCCTAGCACTCTCGCAATCAAATAATCAGGAAATTCAATTAACTCGAAAATTTTGGATATTTTCTATGAATATCATCATGACGATAAGAAGAGAAAACAAGAAAGGACAAGAACATGCTTTAAAGTACCATTTTTTTTTAACTAACAAAGTTGGTAACAAAGTAAACTCCATCCACTAAAACTTCCAGTTTCCTACGTCAGGTAAATTAATAAGATGACAGTGCGCACATATTCACACATATTCCATAAACTCCAAAATACATGAATAAATCAAAATCCCCCCCCCGTCTCATTAAAATAAAATACTGAGCATGCTACGCCACTGTTTAGTTGTAATTTAACTTTATTTCTTATTTAATGTATTTAGATAAAAAGTATTACAGCCGTTATCCTATTTCAAATATTGACTACATCCTTAGTCTAAAAATTTGATGTTATGTTCCAAATTGTTTTCAAATACTCTTCAGAATCATTCACTCTCGTTCACTCTTATAGTTAAAAAGGAAATAAAATTCTATGCTTAATCATATTCTTCTATAGTACGTTAAATTTCAGAAAACGTCTAATAATTTCGCGAAAAAAATTCAACTTCCCCCATTTTTGAGAGCTTTTAGTAGCCGTCAAATAACTACAATACGCAGTTCACTGCACTGTAGCAGAACTTAAATTAATCCTAATAAAAAGAACGACCAATATGACAAGAATAATGAGCAAAATTGCAGCTACAACTACACCAGCAATAGCACCAGTATTTCCACCGTCTACAAGATAAAAATGAATGACAAATCATAACATTACCAACCAATTTTGTCTTTCAGCGATCATTTTATCATTTTTCTAAAGCTGAGGGTGTAACCGCCCTTACAACACATGTATTCATCCCTGTCAACTATTCATGATTTATTTATGCTATAAGTTAGGTTTGGAACGCAATGAAGTTAGAGACGAAGTACACAAAATCACTAAGGCAGTTATTTTTTGCAATTAAATCGGCTGTATCATCAAATAATATCTCTACTCATCCTTAAAAAATTTCTGGCACTTGCCTGTACTGAGATTTATTAATATTTTGAAGCATTACACTTTAGACATCGATAAACTTCCTTATGCTATTGAAAGCAAACACAAACCTGAAGACTTGTGCTTTTGGGCAGTTGCTGCCACTGGACTCCAGTCAGTGGAATAATAATCACCCTGAAACGAAGTGAACATTTATATTTGAATAAAATATGCAGCAATCAATGCAGATGAAAATGTATAAAAAACATCGCACCTGATCATTAATGAAAATGCGTTGAAATATTTTGTAGTTAGTGCCAACCTTCAACGGGCCATTATAATAACTTTCACCAATGAACGCCGTGTTGTGTTTTCACCGTCACCAAGTGCAAAATCAGGCTTAAAGTCTCTGCAAGAGACTACAGCGGCAATATACGGCATTAGTTGTGCGGAAGATATGGCCTGAGAATAAGTTCCTAAGTCTATGTTTTTAAAATAGAAGGCAATTGACTCCCTTCCGTGCAATTTTTCATTGCGACTACATAGAAATATCTGCAAGTTGAAGGCAAAACATTTTTTAAAAATACATGCATAACCTCTCGTTATTCGTTATTCGTTAAAATATATGTTATGCATGTATCTGCACTGCTAGAGAAAAGCGACGAGTCATCAAAACTTTTCCAGAGAGATATTTAGCTTTTCCAGAGAGATATATATGAACTCACCATCTTCAGCAGTTATAAAAGTAGCTGTAGTTGATCTACCAAAGCCTTCAGAATTGTCAGCGGTTACATTAACTTTATACGTTGCGTAAGGAACAAGATTCGTAATGTTGTACGGTTTTTTGTCAGTTACCTCTAAAGTTTTATCGAAAACAATCATAGTATCCTTCAGCAAAATCAATAGATATCTTGTAAAAGGATTCGAGATATTTGTACCAAGTTTTACACCAGTTTTTTTGGGATGTTTCCATGATATCTCGAGGTACGTCGATGCAGATTTGGTTGCAATGAGATCTGTTGGTTTGTCTGGGAGTAAGTCTGCACGATAAAAGAAAAATCTACAAATTGAACCATGTGTAGCCCTTAAATGAAATCAGTCTTTCTGCTTTTTCTTCAATAACACGTGTTAAACTTAACTGCATGTTGAAAAGGCTTCTTTCAGTAAGTTTATTTCGTTAGAGAAAAAAGACTAACACTTCAGCCTTCGTGGAAAATTGTTCACTTTTGTCAACTAACACTTATTTAATTAATTCTCAGACAAAAAAAAATTATAAACTGATTAAATAAGTGCTTACAGTGCAAAGTAAATCTGGTAAATTTTTTCCACCTCTTACCTCCACCACAAATTTCAATTCGTAAACACGGTGCACGAACAAATTTCAATGGAAAGATTCGCAAAGCTCTTTCATCCATTTTCCATTCACAAAAAGTGAATGAAGAATGGATTTCTCCATTCACTTTCTCTTTCTCCATTCACAAAAAGTCGCAAAAATTAAAAATTGTTGTCTGAAGAAAGAGAAAGAGAGAGAGAGAGCACAAGAAGTATTTGAGGAATACGACTGATTTTGCAATGCTTTTATTAAATAAGGTTAAATTCCAGTTGGAATTAAGCCAGCTATGACAAGAAAACGTAAGTATCTTCTCTAATAACAGCAATACGGTAGCGATATAAATTCCATTAAAGAGTGAACGTTAATCATCGTACAGAGCAATGACAATTGGACATTTTTTGAAGCACGAAATGAACTAGCAAGAATAAAATTAATTTAATTCCCAGTATTCGCAGCAACCATGTCTGAATTATTCATTATCCAAGAGTAGCGATAGTTTATATTTTGATATATTTGTAAATGAATAATTGTGAAATCCTCCAAGTTAGCGTAAAATACAGTGACACCACGATGACAGATGTAAGTCTTGATGATAGAGGTAAGTCATGATGCTTAACAAAAGACAGATGTAAGTTGAGAACACAAAAGTAACACATTTATTCCTTAAATTCTTCGCTCAAAACTTTTTCTAACGTCATACAAATGTGTCCTACAATACGTTGAATAGAAGAGGTACACAAAATTCATTACTTGACATTGGCAAGTACTCATGTGTATAATGTAACCTCAAGTACTCATGTGTATAGTGTACGGTCAAGTACTCATGTGTATAGTGTATAGTCAAGTACTCATATGTATAGTGTACGGTCAAGTACTCATGTGTATAGTGTACGGTCAAGTACTCACGTGTATAGTGTATAGTCAAGTACTCACGTGTATAGTGTACGGTCAAGTACTCATGTGTATAGTGTACCCTCAAGTATACATGTCAATCAACAGAACGTCTCATCGTTATTTTCTAAATTAATGTTGTCCTACAACAATATGTTTACAAAATCTTTGTGTTTGAGAGTAACAACGAATGAAAACTTTAAACATACAACATAAGTATTTGTAAACACTAAATGATAAAAAAAAAATTGCTTACCTGTTTTTTAAAGACAAGAAAAGCAAAAGTAAAAGCAAAACTTTGTCGTTCGCCATTTAAAAAAAAGTTACAATTTGCATGCCTTCATCGAAATGAATTTGTAAAAAATCGAAAAACGCGCAATTTCTCCATGTACAAATAATCAAATCTTTAAAATACAAATCTTTTTTTGACAATTGTCAATTGGCTAGCGTATAAACTTAACTGTCTCCATGACACTGAAGAAAATACTGCAGTGTTGATTTGAAACAAATTACTCAATAGGAGATTTTAAGATGATATCAACCCATAGACATATCGGCACAATACCGCATTCCTTAAAGGTACAAAATCCACTTCTTCTTAAGATCACGTGATCACGAAGATTCTTTAATGATTTCTAGTCTTCTCGGCCCGTATAGCAACACATATGCACAATGCCAGTCACCTAAAGGAGAAACAGCCTTAACCAAGGATCATTAAAATAAACCAGACATTCAAATAAAATCAAAGCTATTTTCTATGACATAGAAGTGGGGTGTTGCAATTGTAGAAGACTATCTGCGATAGACTATTTCTGATGGGAAAGACGTCTTTCGTGCAAAGTATATACATGTTTATTTGATTTTATGGAATGCACGTTAATGCTACTTTAATATTCCCTATTGTTATGCTATGCGGCATAAATAAACATTGATTTTCGACTAATACTCTTGATTATTCCTTCGCGCTAATGAATTTTCTAAATGACTATTGATAAGTCAAAGCGTGTAATGGAATGTACAATGTGCTCCAATGATGAGCAAATGATGTATTAAAATAGACTAGATTAAAATTATTTAAGAAATAAAAGATTTTTACTGTGTTTGCACAGGCTTATGAAAACCGAGGAGACCTTTGGGAGAACTCGAGATTAGATCAGTGCAAGCCCGAGACCGAAGTTCGAGGGTTGCACATGCTCGAGATTTTGTTTCGCTTTCGTTTCAACGTCTCAATTGACGAAGAAACCCACGCAAAATAAGTCTTTTTCAAGCTGAAAAGTTTTAGCCGGCATGAAGAACTTTAACATTATATTTGGAAGAATGTTTAGACATTGTGATACGATATTGATTGCAATATATATAAAAATTGCAATACCATTAAGGGGCTCTAACCCAAACACAAAAAGGAGCAAAAACATGATCATAAAAAGCATTGATAAAATTTTCAAAGAACCCTTCCTCTAAATTCAACTAAAACATCAGCAGCAAATACCTAACACAATGATAATTACCATTAAAACTTGGCAGAGGATGATCTTACCTCCCCCGGATAATTTCAAAACATCTTCTTCAGTAATGTGCGTTATTTTATCGTCGTCGCACTTAATCCAAGAGTCTAAAATATAAAGTAAATGGTTTGAACCCGGGGGGAGTATAGCTACATGTTTGTGGATGTAGATAGAGCCTGAGAAAGACTCTTTATGTTGAATGATGACTTAAGTTTCGACAACCTTAGCGGGAGTCATCTTCATCTAAGGTTGTCGAAACGTCAGTCAACACCAACAACAACAGTCATTCTCAAGAGTCTAAAATATATGAACAGAACATAAAAATGCATTGCGTTGCCTGCAAAATTAGTTACAGACATTGATTACACAACTTAAGCGCATGTTTTCATACTCAAAAGTCGGACAAAATTACGATTGAAAAAAAAAGAGAAACTAAAGGAGGAAGTAGAAGCGTTCGCCCCACCTACCACGTGTAAACTAACACCTGTCATTTCAAGACATGATTAATGATATTAAACGGACGTTTGCTGCCCACACAGATTTATTTAATATAAGACCAATGCAAGGATTCCCCTTCATTCCACGTCCATCGTTTCCACGTTTTACTTCATCATTCTCTTCGTTTGAAAAGTTTTTCACAAAATGGCTTTGAGTTGGAGGTTTTCTGTCATGTTCTGCTTCAGTGTATTCGATCTGGGTAAGTTGTTGGAATTTAAATCATCACGAACAAGTGAACACTTTTGGTAGAAATTCACTCAATTGTCCTGAAGTTCTTTTGTCTTGAAGTTACTTTGATTTGAAATGATGGCGATGACGCCACAGTTGATGCAAAAAATTGCAAACGGACATTTTAGATTCTTTGTTCAATGATTTTTTAATACGTAATTCGTGTTTGCATGAGACTTGTCTCTACGCAAACAAATACTTGGTTTCAACTTAAATCAAATCAACTTTCATAAAACGGCGCTCGATGCTTCAACCGTGACTAACTTAAACTAATTTCATTACACTCAGTAATAAAACAATTACTTCGTAGCTAAAATACATCAACCCTAACTAAGCAGTTTCTTTTGCCTTGACCACAACGTAATCATCCCAGTGAAATAAAACTGGCGCTAATTCTCGAAAGTAACCGCCCTCTTAAGCCCCCCGCACACATAGTAACCGCCCCTCAAAAGAATTTCCCTTAATGGAACCACCCCCCAGAAAGAAACCACCTTCTTACAAAGCAAAGTTTTTTCGATTAAGTAAAAATAGACTGTCAAATTTCATTTAGCAATTTCCTAAAGAGTTCTTACAAGAACAAATGATGAGATAGAGCGTTTATAATCGAATTTCCTTCTTTAGCTTGTCAAAGTGTAGTTTCAAAATCGTTGTTTGTCAGTCAAAATGGCGCAGATTTTCCATCGTGTGGTTATAGAAATCGTCCTTGTCGAACGATCAGACACGCCATAACGATTGCAAGGCCTGGTGAGAAGATTCTCATTGAATATGCGCACAAGCCATATGACGAATGCCAAGATTCAAGAACAGTTACATATCTTAACAAGTCCCTAACGTTCATAGGTCACAAAGGCAAACCGACAATTGAATGCAAAAGAGGAGCTCAATTATTCAAAATACCATCACTGAATGAAAAGATCACCATAAACACGACGAATATGATTCTGATATCTTCAAACTCGGTCATTCGCTGCGACAAACGATCAAGATTCGCACTTTACATCAGGAACTGCGTTTTCCGAGTTTCCAATACAGCAATCGCAGCAAAATCAGCTCACGATTGTTCCATCACGATCCTCAAGAGTACTTTTTATGGTCGTACGTACCCATCGGCGTCAATGAGTTGTCTAAATCTAACAGCACATCTTGTCGACAGTACGTTTCGCGCCAGTCCTGTCTCCCTTCGAACAATTATGGAAAAAAAGACACTCTACGTTCAACATACGACCGTTTTCGTGTCAAACTGTCATTTTCATGGCGAGCAAAAGAAATTATGCGTATCGCTTCTACAAATATTGCCGATGGCAGTCTATAGTAATGTCACAATTGTAAGCAGCAAATTCACAGATCATTTTGGAATATGCACTGGAACTAACACAGGAAATACGCTTTATATCAAGGGGAACAAGTTCGCAAAGAAACGAAAACAAACGCTTATTCATCTAAATAACCTAACACTAAAAGACAACCGTTGCACAGGAACAATACTTCGACTTGAGCCGCTGCAAAAAAAAGTAGATATCTTTGATGTTGTTGTTTCTAATTCGTTATTTGAAAACACATCATCCGTTTTGTACGTTTCTATTGACCGTTCGCGTGGTGGCCTTCGAGGCAAAGCTGTACGTTTCGTCAACAACACTTTCATAAACACGCATAAATATCGCTCAAGTCGTTTTAACAATCTCCATTTAAATCCTGGAAAATTTCTGTTCACAAAATGCACGTTTATCGATAACTATGGCGGAAATGAGCCCAACGATGCTGTCATTGTCGTCGCTTCATACAGTGTTGCCGTTATATTCAGAGACTGTTATTTCGAGAACTCGAATCCTGCATCGTCCTCGACGCTAATCTTCTCACAAAAAAAGAACTTCGTGCTGTTTCAAAAAAACAACACGTTTAATATCACCGCGACGCAACGTGAACTAAATGTCATCGCGTACATTTTCACGAAGCCCGATAAAGTACGTCGTTTCCGTCTTCAGGACAACTTCAAGATCCTTTGTCCCTACAGATATGTGATGTCAAAAAGGATGTTTTGCTACGAGGTCAAAATAAGGCATACGTTGAATGCAACGAGTTCGTGGTAAAATGTAAACCATGTCAGCGGAATACTTATTCGGTAAGTCGTGCGATACTTCATAACAATATCACCAACAGTATCAATTGTCAGGACTGCGCGAATGGCGGTCAATGTTACAATGGTCGCCTGACAGCAAAGCCAAACTACTGGGGATATAAAGTCAACCAATCAGTCCGCTTCATACGATGCCCACACGGTTACTGTTGCCAAGGCAATGACTGCGTCACATACAGTAGTTGCCATGGAAAGAGACAAGGTAAAATTTGCGGGGAATGCCCGCATGGCATGTCGGTATCGTTGTTTTCTGCAGCATGCATTCCAAACGCTAACTGCGGTCATTATGATGCTATTCTCTTTGGCCTCGGCTACTGTATCGTTTATTTAGTGTTTTTTCTCTACCATAAAGAAATAATTCGATTTGTCAAGCGAATTTTTCACTTCCTCCAAAGAAACCAACAGCGGATTGTTGAAGATCGTATTCTACTATTACCAAATCAGCCGTTTCTTGGTGAGTCCAACTAATTTTGAATCCCGTCAAACAGCCATGACGGAAGTACGTAATAAGATCGGAGAAATTTTCAACTTCATCATCATGAGTATTCCATTCCTGGAATGTCCAATTCGTGACCTTAATGACGTCACAAAACAAACAATCCTTCACTCGCTGGGCTACGTCCTTCTCACATTTCTTGCCGTGCTGTTCACGGCAACAATTTTAAAGAATTTCGTCTGTAAACGCTTTAAATCTTACACGTCACGAGACATCCCGTTTTCCATCGAGACTGATGCAAGAGACGACGAAAAGACCAAAGTTTCGAGGCGCGCATTGCTTCAGCATATACGCTCATCTCCCTCCTTATGTACGCATCATCCACTCAACTCTGTTTATCCTTGCTGCATTGTGTTCCATTGGATGATGAGCAAGTTCTCCACATTAACGGCAACGTTAAATGTTATCAGCTATATCAATATATTTTCCTGGCATATTTCATAACATCCATACTGCCGTTTTGTCTTGTTCCTGTTCTCGGATCGCACCTTCTACGACTTGAAAGATCACCGTCAAGCACTTCTGTATCGCTTGCCTCTTCCCTCTACCCTTCTGCTGCTATTGGCTGTATCTATTCACAAGGATACGCGGTTTCACGAGAATGGGACAACATAACAACGACCATACGATGCAGGATATATGTGAGATAAACACGAACAATGAAGAAACAAACATCGAATGTCATACCGCAAAGAGTACGAACAGTATTTCTAGGATACTTCATGTCTTACAGGGTCCATTCAGACTTTATAAAGCCGATGAATGTTCCACAACTTCGCGCATACCGTGGGAAGGATTTCTCATCTTTCGTAGACTGGTTTTAATTGTCGTGCTGACTTTTCTCTACGATGTTAAATTACGAATGCTGGTCGCTTTAACGATCTGCGTGGCGATTTTGATATGTCACATGCTGGTGTTCCCCTTTCAGACCAAACGCGATAATATCGTGGAGTCTATCTTTTTAGCTATACACGTTATTTTATGCGGGATTACCTTGGTCAAGACTCTTTATCATGAAGAAGGTAACGGTTCTTATAATGCGGAGAAACTCCTCGCGTTGGATGCAATACGAGATATAATAATACTTTCACCGATGTTTATTATATTAATGGCTGTTGTTCTTTCACTTGTTATAAAGATCTCGAATGGATTAAAATGTTTTGCAACGGGCTTGTTTAGAAAAATAAAACGCACAGGAAATTGATGTAACGTTGGACTTGACCTTTACGAAAAAGCTCGCAGCAACGAGACATATGTTGACAATATAAAAACAAAAGCGAAGCTCGCGAATCTTTTGTGTTTAAACGTTTGAATCGAGATGTTTATCACCCCGATGCAATATGTTTAGTACCTAAGGTCAGATGGGGTTGAAGAAAGAAACTATAGTCCAATGATATAAGACTTTACTCCTATTACACCCTTTGATCCATGCAATATAATAACCTTTACTCACTGTTACTCCCTTTGATCCATGCCACATAATGACCAGATGACGATGATCGTCCTTGATGAGTCAGAACAGCTTGCAACTGGTAAAAACCACTGTTATTAGAGCCAGTGTCTGAAAATCAAACAAAGATTAGAAAGGTTCATGCATGGATAACGAGGGATCCGTACTTCATACATGAATACCATGGGTAATGTAATTCATGCATGGACGAGGAGGATAATCTACTACACGCATGGATGAAATGGGTAATGTAATTCATGCATGGATAAGAAGGGGTAATGCACTTCATGCATGGATAAGGAGGGTAATCTACTACATGCATGGATGAAATGGGTAATGTAATTCATGCATGGATAAGAAGGGGTAATGCACTTCATGCATGGATAAGGAGAGTAATCTACTACATGCATGGATGAAAGAGTAATGTACTTCATGCATGGATAAGGAGGGTAATCTACTACATGCAAGGATAAGAAGGGTAATGTACTTGATGCACGGTGACAGAAGACAAATTGAACACTGCTTATAATTTTGTAATTCGAAAAAATTTATGCATTTAAAGAACAATACTATTATTTTAAATATATAAGAAAGATTACATCAAGATAATATACAAAATTAAGTATGAAAGATTTTAACGTATGAATCTACTGGTCATTAAACCAAGAGTAAAAAACTAAAAGTGACATTTTATCGTTTCATCAACTGCGTCAGTTTTTACGACACAACGTTTTTCAAGAGCTATTTGCAAATGTTTCGGCTTAAGAATAGAAGCTGTATTCGTCATGTCAGCTTCCACTCTCTGATACTTCATGTTTACCAATGTCATACGGTAACTATATAACATCCGGGCAATGACATCGAACACAACCATCTTCGCGAGAGTCTCTCCGACACAAACGCGACTGCCTGCCGAGAATGGAAGCGTCGAGAAAGGCGGTGGTGTCGAATAATTTCCACAGCTATTCAAAAATCGGGCTGGCCTAAAGACATGCGGGTCATGCCAAGTTCTTGCGTCATTATGAATAGCAAAGGCATTTACGATTACAGTCGTGTCTTTAGGAATGTGAAAACCGTTAATTTTTGCATCGGATGTTGCCCTATGGGGTAGAAGTAAAGGTACAATAGACCCATATCTTAACGTTTCTGTGATGCTTGCCCAGAGCAAAGGTAGTCGATGACGGTCGGAAAATGTCGGGGGAGAATCGGGGCCTAGAACTTGCATCATCTCTTCGTAAATCTGATCTTGTATATCTGAATGAAAAGCCAAGAGATACAGCCCCCACGTGATCACTGACGTCGAGGTTTCAATTCCCGCTATAAAAATATCTTTCATCATACAAGTTATTTCTTTCTTCGTTAAAATGACGTCATTACTCTTACTATCCATGATGTCATCTGATTGCTTCTGAAACGCATGCGTCAAATCGTAGTCTTCCACTGGATTTGCGGTTTCGTGCTCCCCGTATATTCGCAAAACAATCGTGTCCAAAAGATTAGTGGCCGACTTAAGTTTAATCACGCTCTTCAAAGGCAATTTCTTAGCAATGGGATGGCATCAATGAGGTTGCCAGGGGCAACATACTGCTGCACAACATCAAAGTTGTTCATGAGTGCATGGAATTCTGGGTCATCTTTGTCATATTTGAACCCAAATGTTATGGCACAAATGATGTTAGCAACACAATGGAATATATCTTGCGGGATGTTTCTTGGAGTGACCGTTTTTTCTCCCAGGTCAGCCATAAGATCCTTTATGACGTCACAAGCCTTATTTTCAAGACTATTACCAAACGATCTGTAAGCAGCATAAAATATTTTACGTTGTTTCTTCCAACGCTGAGAATTTTCTTTCGAAAAAGCGATATTCTTACCATCGTGACTAAACAAAGTGGCCGCGTAAGGTAGGTTCAACGGTCGTCCACCAAAAACAAATGATTGCCTCACGAGTACCTCGCGAGCCATTTCCGAGCTGCTCACGACAAGCGCACGCTCGCTTCCGAAGTAGATTGTCATTAGATCGCCATATTTCTTAGCAAGCTTTGCCAAATCAATATGAACGGTCGTACCAATCAAATTTAAGTTTCCCAGAAAGGGAAGGGGAAATGGACCGGGTGGCAGATCACGTGACATGAAATGTGACCAATAGAAAAAGAGAACTCTCCAGAAAAAATATATCAAAATAATGCCAACTAATACTTCGATCATGGCGCAAAACGATATCAGAAATGCTGTTAAGCGTTTTTTGAGAGTCTACGCGTGCCAACACAAGATAATTGCAATGTAATCCGATTGAAGTTTCACTTTTTGGAGTGCAAAAAAACTCACGTTTCAATAATCAATAACGTACCAATAATTCTTTGTCCAGGAGAGCACTTCATTCAGAAAACAAACGATGTAGTGAATAATCTTCTCCCCAACGATTTCAACTCGTATATTTTAAAGGCCTTTATAGGGAACATTCGTCGAAACGCTATCAGTGAGTGTTGAAAAGGAAATAACGATTTTCCTCACTTTATCCAAAACACTTCTCCAAAATGAAGTCAACAGTGTCCAAATTGTTGCGATAATCAATTTATTGCGCGTACCACGAAATAACAACAATACACGGTTAGATTATTTACCTCGAAAAGAGGGCAACGCTCCACGTTAATGCTTTTCTACGCCACGAATCAAGATTTTACACAAAATGTGTACTTATGTAGAATTTGTCAACCTTGATGCCAGTCAAAGAAGATTGTAAATATAAAATACGTTCGCTTGTTAAATAGACACGCTTCAATACATACTTAATCTTTGGCAGAGTGGCAAAGCCATTATTGAAGCAGAAGTGATGACGCCAGACCGACACAATGTTGCATCATGGGCAATCAAAGGGACATAATTTTACTAACAGATTTCATGTTAACCTTTAGACGAGCCCAATAAAACTGGAAATACAAACGTGTTTGCTTGTTAAAAAGATGCGCGTTTTATTTCATCTTTAATCTTTTGCCAAGCCTTGCGACCATTATATGTTAAATGTATTTTTGAATGGAGGAAACGACAGAAAATATTCTTGAATCATAAAATTAGGCCGTTCTGCCGACAATTTAACAGACAAATTATTCTTTGATCTTTGTTTTAAAAGATATTTCAAAAATTTCAAGCAGTTTGCGTCATGAATTTATGAACTACGAATTACTGGCTGTGTTCCAAAACCATTTAAATAAAATCTAATAAATCGAATCTATTTCATGCAATCGATAGTTTCTTAATCTTAACTATCAAATCCAATTCTATAGTAACTTACCATCAGAAAACGAGTATGGTTGGTATTCCTTTATCTCTGAATCGACATCCATTTTATCAACACTAAATTTCTTTCCCTCAAGCTTAGTTTTCTAAATACGTAAAAGCACAAATAACATATGTTAAAAAAAATTTGATCAGACAAAAATATTTTCTAAAGCGTATACACACAACATAGACACACCATAATTAAAATCTTTAAGTATACTCGAGTACCCTCAAGTACCCTCAAGTACCCATTTTAACAGCTCCATACCTATTTTACCCCACCTCACCCTTTTAATGATAACACATTTGAAAGGTAGCAAAAAACAAACCCCTGACATACATTCACCTCCAAGTCTCTGAACGAGATTATGTGCATCAAGTATGGACGTTGTCAGGTTCTCAGACGACATTGCATAAAGAATGGGGATTGAGTATTTTAATAAAAAGTAATATTGAAGCATGTGAATTACATATAAAATGCGAAAACAAGTTTTGTGAAAATTTACTTAGTCCCCAGCCTCATTTTATTTAGCCTCCCGCCTTTACTAATCCCCACTCGAATGATAACAAAAAATCCCACAGGGGGAGGGGGGTAAAGAGAGAAAATAAAACATTATTGGTATCCTCAAGTATTCATGTTTATAGTTTATCCTCAAGTACTCATGTGTATAGTGTATCCTCAAGTACTCATGTTTAAAGTGTATCCTCAAGTACTCATGCGTATAGTGTATCCTGAAGTACTCATGTGTATAATGTATCCTCAAGTACTCGTGCGTATAGTGTATCCTCAAGTACTCATGTGTATAGTGTATCCTTAAGTAGTCATGTGTATAGTGTATCCTTAAGTGCTCATGTGTATAATGTATCCTCCAGTACCCATGTGTATAGTGTATCCTTAAGTACTCATGCGTATAGTGTATCCTCAAGTATTCATGTGTATAGTGCAGGGGTCTCCAAACTTTACAGCCAGAGGGCCACATGAACTTTCATCCAGCATGTTGAGGGCCGAAGAATATAAAAAATTTCCACGTTATCCTTCAGCTTTTTAAATTTTACAATGTGCTTGAAACGGAAGTAGGAAGTTGGGAGAAAAGTTGACGTAAGCCAATCTTGCAAGTTGGCTTGCGACATAACGTGAACTTTCTGCACAAAGTTTATTTTGTTTATATATTTTTTTTCTTAAGTGTCTCTGCGGGCCGAATTGAGAGGCCCAACGGGCCGCATCTGGCCCGCGGGCCGTAGATTGGAGACCCCTGGTATAGTGTATCCTCAAGTACTCATGCGTATAGTGTATCCTCAAGTACTTATGTGTATAGTGTATCATTAAGTAGTCATGTGTATAGTGTATCCTTAAATACTCATGTGTATAGTGTATCCTCAAGTACTCATGTGTATAATGTATCCTCAAGTACTTATATGTATAGTGTATAGTCAAGTACTCACGTGTATAGTGTATCCTCAAGTACTCATGTGTATAGTGTATCCTTAAGTAGTCATGTGTTTAGTATATCCTCAAGTACTCATGTGTATAGTGTATCCTCAAGTACCCATGTGTGTAGTGTATCCTTAAGTACACATGTGTATAGTGTATCCTCAAGTACACATGTGTATAGTGTATCCTCAAGTACTCATGTGTATAGTGTATCCTCAAGTACCCATGTGTATAGTGTATCCTCAAGTAAACATGTGTATAGTCAATCCTCAAGTACTCATGTGTATAGTGTATCCTCAAGTATACATGTGTATGGTGTATCCTCAAGTACACATTTGTATAGTGTATCCTCAAGTACTCATGTGTATAGTGTATCCTCAAGTACTCATATGTATAGTGTATCCTTAAGTACACATGTGTATAGTGTATCCTCAAGTACACATGTGTATAGTCAATCCTCAAGTACTCATGTGTATAGTGTATCCTCAAGTATACATGTGTATAGTCTATCCTCAAGTACTCATGTGTATCGTGTATCCTCAAGTACTCATGTGTATAGTGTACCTTAAAGTATACATGTCAATCAACAAAACGTCTCATCGTAATTTTCTAAATCAATGTTGTCCTTCAACAATATGTTTACAAAATCTTTGTGTTTGAGATTATCAACGAATGAAAACTTTAAACATACAACATTTGTAAACACTAAATGATAAAAAAAAATTGCTTACCTGTTTTTGAAAGACAAGAAAAGCAAAAGTAAAAGCAAAACTTTGTTGTTCGCCATTTAAAAAAAAGTTACAATTTGCATGCCTTCATCAAACGAATTTTTAAAAAATCGAAAAACGCAATATCTCCAAGTACAAATAATGAAATCTTTAAAATACAATTCTCTTTTTGACAATTGTCAATTGGCTAGCGTATAAACTTAACTGTCTCGATGACAATGAAGGAAATACTGCAGTGTTGATTTGAAACAAATTACTCAACATGAGATTTTTTGATGATATCAATCCATAGACATATCGGCACAATACCGCATTCTTTAAAGGTACAAAAGCCACTTCTTCTTAAGATCACGTGATCACGAAGATTCTTTAATGATTTCTAGTCTTCTCGGCCCGTATAGCAACACATATGCACAATGCCAGTCACCTAAAGGACAAACAGCCTTAACCAAAGATCATTAAAATAAACCAGACATTCAAATAAAATCAAAGCTAAGAAACTTGCTACTGTACATATAATTAGATAACAGACTGCCGTTAGCAGCTCAGCACTCCTATTACTCAAAAAAAATCAATTTACTAGCTGCCAATATAGTAATCATACGCGCAATGAGATATACGTAGCACAAAAAATTCAATGGACTTGCTCTACTGTATTTTTACTATACTGTCGATAAGTGAAGACTTGTAGCTATTGACTATGAGGTTCTCATTAAGGGAGAGTTTGTATGAATCGTGAGAAGAGGAAATTCTTTCAAAGTCGTCCATGTTGGGGGTATCTCCAGACATGTTTATGTTAGCAAAAATGCTCGATAACGCAAGGCGTGAGGTTTGGTTACCTTCAAATGGAGATATTCTCATGTGCTACGAAAATCCGATGTGTAAATGACGTGTGATTTGACCCACATACAATACGTACAGCTATAACACTTTAATGAACACACAACATCCAATCTCTGAGGTTTGAGAACTTTTTCCTTAAAGGGGAGAAAGAAAATATACGTTAAGAAAGGTGGAAAACAAATTTGATTAGTACATGCGGAAAAGCGGCAGCACTAAGGCGATTTATTTATGTGTGTATTTGAATGGAATGCATACCTGTGAAAAAAGACAGAAGTAGATGGATTTTTGTGAGCAGTAATGACGGGAGTTTTGGGAAAAGGTGTTGTCGAGGAAGCGACGTGTTATTTGGTCAAATACGCGGGAAAGAAAGCCTTTTGATGAGTAACTATCTCGTAGATTCAAGTAAAACAAAATTTTCAAAGGCTAAACAAAAGTTTGTAAAACATTTTAAAGGTTTTAAAGATTTGTAAAAAACTTTCAAAGATTTGAAAAAGATTTCGAAAACAAAGATTTGATGAAATATACACACGTGAGGCTAGTGAACGTTTGCGAAAAACGGAACGCAGCTGCAATGCCTCGTACGTGGGTTAAGCCACACGTCCTTACAGACCAGATTTTCGAAGCATTTGGGAAAATTTTCCCTTGCAGGTAACCAAATGTCAAGCCCTGCAACGAAAACAACCGTGCACCAATTAACATAGAAAGCCTGCAAATTTGTCTTGCTATGTAAATAATCTTTACTAACTGTATTAAAACAACAGATTTCTAAAGAAACAATGCAGGTGATTTACAAAGCACAACCAAATATGAGGGTATTATACGTTACTGAGAGCAAAGTTCGAATACAAGCACGATATTTAAAGTAGAAATTCGGTAGCTTCCATACAACATACGATGATCATAAATAGCGTTGGACGATTATCAAAAAAATCAGCTCATGATTAATTTTAGGAAATTATCACGATATTCGATAATATCGCGATAAATACGATAACAAAATGCACCACATTGTTTTTAAATTTTGATCAATAAAATGAACTAAACATAATCAATAAAGTAACTAAAGTTTTATGATAGTTACTCAATATTCAATAACAGTTACCGGATGACACAAATGCAGCGGACACACAGCGCAAGCAAAACATGCAATTTCATTGTTTAGCGCATCAATACATAAATATCAGTGATTTAGTCTAGCTTTTGTACTTTACTATATCGTATTAATTTGGTAAATTTGTGTTTGAGCTACGTTTTCCGGAAATAAAAAGAATCATTTGGATTCTATAAAGCTAAATGTACATACAGGCAAAGCAATATCATGATAGTCATCAAGCATGACAATAACTTCGATAAATCGATTAATCGAAATATCACCCAACCCTAATCATAAATGTGTCAAAGTGTTGGTAAACATCAAAATCCCCTTTCAAACATGAATTCAATAATAAAAAAAATTTTTATGGTCTATTTTGTAGTGGCTGCATAGTCCATTAATGAAAACAGCGCTGGGTGTTGATGCAATTCGGGCTTCAAGGGAATAATAAAGACAATCTTAACGCTGTTTCAACGAACTGTGGCGTCTATTCTGGATCAGCTTGATACATTGGAACGCATTAATCGCTTGGACAGTTTTGACTCGGTCGACAAGATTTGAGATAGCAATATAGGTACCACGGTGACCTGCTCCGTCACTGGATTAAGAAAATAAATATTTTTGTGTTTGTTGCAAAATTCTTGTAGAGATCTTCACTTAGACCTTAAACCGCCAAATTATAACCACGAGAGCGACGAGGTTAATCACTTGCTAATATTTGAGTCACACGTGTTTTACCTGCATATAACAATGACAGGTCTATTTACATCAGCAGCTCTTTGTGAATGTTCAACTTTAGATAAAATTTCCACCATACTGTGAACATCTTTAGAAACATCATGAACCGGCCACGATATGTCATGAATCACGGACCATACGACCTTTTTTAATATCCTAAGAAACAAAAAATAAATAAATGTAACAAATCATTTACTCATAAAGACATTCTTTAGAAATCTATTGTTCTTACGGTCAGTAAACACAAAATATTTGCTGCAACTGCGTAAAACACTATTGATATTGCGCATTTAATAAATACGACGGGGTTTTTAAAAGAAGCATTTCACAATAACAAAACTAATCGTAATCTCAACGTTCACGTTTTCGTTTTAACACTATATTCCGCCTGTAATTACACTCATAAATTAGTTCCAACCAGTATTTCATTTTAATATTTATAATCTACTGATAATTGTATCACTGCATCATATTACTCTTATATAAAATTATCATGCATATACATAATATTCTTATTATACTGAAGATGCAATCATAAGATGTTGAAACACATTTATTTTAAAACAACTCGTCGTATTTATTAAATGCAAAAAAATATTTGCATAGCGAGAGTAAAGTCAGACTGACTACGCTACTGCATAAACATATACATATGAACTTTGTATGAAAGAGAAGTGTATTGATTTATTTGCAACCAATTATTTAAAGCAGAGATTTAAATATGTTTATAGAAATTTCTTTTTATCCGAATGATTCTGACTTTTCTCTTATAGAAACGTATTGATTGTAGGCACGTGTTTCTGATTTTTCCTTTAAGATAATGAATATTTTATTGTTTTATTGCAGGTATGTGGAAGCCTGTAATTGAATGTTGAATCTTCTTTAATGATGAACAAATGGTGTAAAAGCACAACAAAGAAGTATCAAAAGACCAGTTGCTAAAAATACTATCTTCACACAATTATAAAAGTAACTAGTATGGGATGAAGATACTGGACTGGATTACTTTGACTTTATTTTTTATATACAGCTATACAACCATTGTAATTATACAAAAAATCACTCTACACAAAGACAGGAACACATAATGACTTAAGTTTCAACATCAGATCACTTTTTAATTAAAGGACACTAATCACCAAAAAAAATATATTAAAACTTTTTACATTGATCATATCAGATAAGGCGACTCACAATTTTGATATCTGGAATTCAACTCTAAGATTCACTTCTTGAAGACATCAAATATAAAACCACAGATCATACCAAAAACGTTTTGATCTACATATCAAATTGCCTGTGATTCTTGGTTTTCTAATTTATTCGTATAAATGTAATTTAGAGAAACTACAACGTATAATTCTAATTTAATTCGATGCCGCATCAGCAAAAAATAAAAGGAAAAATACGAATAGCACACAAATACAGGCATGGAGAATATTTTGTCGTCTGCTGAGTCTTTGTTATTCGGCTTTGTCTCAAAACATGGTGACTAATGATTGTCAATTTCAAAAGGTCAACTTAACGCCAACGAAGTACAAAGTGAAAAAAAATGTAATGAAATATTTAAGAACTGACAATTAATATTGAAAAGGAATTCAATACCTTTTTGATGACAAAATTTCGTCCGTAACCACAAGACTATCCAAATTCTTACTATCCGCCATATTGCATGACATCATTTAACCAGTGAACTCAATATTTAAATAACTGGAATGAAAGCATAAGCCAAAATTGAAACCAGTTAGGCAATTGCGCTTCATGATTTGTACATCTTGTAAAATTTTGTGTCATTGCTTCAAAGCCATGTCTTCTTTTCTGTTAATCACCAATCTAAGCCGAAGCACAACGTTAACTAGCATTTGCAGTCAAATCATTAAGGAAATTTAATTTACCCGATCATTTTGAATGTTTAAAATGAATATTATCATGACGATATAAAGCAAAACAGGAAAGGACAAGAACAGCACCATCTTATTAACACTAACAAAATCAACTCCATCCACTAAAACTCCTTGTTTCTCACGTTAGGTAAATTCATGTGATGAACGACTATATCACGAGGAAGATTATCGAAAGATTTGTGGGGTAGAAAATTTGAGTTATTATATCAGCGACTTTAACTAGCTAAATAGACACTTCGTAAGAACTACCGTAGTAATTGAGTTTTCTCATAGTGGGTTAGAATATTCTGATGATTCCAAAATACAATCCACTTTCACAATGCCAAATCGTACATCCAGTGCCTACGTATACTGAGTTGTAATTTTCCTTTCTAAAAGGTAAGTTCTTTATTACTTCTATACAAATTACAATCATTGTTAAATAATTTTAATGAACAAGCAAGCGGTTGATAAACTAACCTATAGATTAAGACATTAAAGTGAGCAGTCGCCGCAGAGTGTTTGATTTGAGCATTTGATAATTTAAATTTCAATTCAGAACTATTCTTGACTTGCAACCATTCTCTTGAGATTTACCAAACAATGTTGCTCGCCTACGTCGGCTAGTGCCAACAATAACACTAATAAAATATTCATTTCTATCAAACCGCCAACATGGCTGAATTGCAAGTCAAGAATTCACTCTCATCAAATGTTGTCAGTAGATGTTAAATAACTTCAACACGCATTTTACTGCACGTTCGAGTACAAGAGTTTAGATTGATCCTAACGAACAGCCAATACGACAAGAATAAAAACCAACCAGGAGCAGCAACTGCACCAGTAAAGCACCATCATTTCTACCGTTTATAGGATATAAATGAATGACAAAGATGAACTTAATAAACATTAAGTGAGCAGGAGGCGGACAAAAAAAGCAACTGAACTATAAATAACACGTGATTACTTGAAGATATCAATAGACTACTTGATATTACATGACGAGAAGAAACTGTTTTACTTGGGGTTCGTCTGCTCATATTCTTAGGAAGTGAAAGCTCATACATCATAATCGTTGGTGTGTGTTCCAACTAATAAAAACTAATGAATCGGAGAAACTCGTGATAGGGTTGGCTATATTTTTCATATCTAGAGTCGAGAATCTCTGAATGATATTCTGTACTTCTGTATTTGTAACAATTTGATATTTTACTCATAATTCAAACATAATTCGAACGCAAATATAAATTTTAAACGGGTTTAATGTTGCGGAAGTTTAGTACCGACTACCTAGATCAGTCTTTTGGTGGGTGTTCCGGCCAGTGTTGAAAAACAAGGAGAGGGGTTGACAAAAAACTATAGAAAAGAAGGACGTGTTGGGAGATCATATGCATTTTTCTTGTTTTGTAAAATCTTGTCTGGTAGCTTCAAACACATTTCTTTTTTTTTCGTTGATCTCTAGTCTACAGCCAAACATAATGCTCCTAGCACTCTAGCAATCAAATTATCAGAAAATTCAATTAACTCGATAAATTTGGATGAGTTTAAAATGAATATTATAATGAGAATAATAAGCAAAAAACAGGAAAGAACAAGAACAGCAACATTATACTAACACAAATATAGTTGGTAACAAAGTAGACTCCATCCACTTAAACTCCCTGTTTCTTACGTCAGGTAAATTAATGAGATGACAGTGTGTACATATTCATATATATATCCTTGACTCCAAAATTATGAATGAATGAAAATCCCGTTCCCCCCAACTTATTTAAATAAATTACTGAGCATGCTACGCCACTGTTTGTTTGTAATTTAACTTTATTTCTTATTTAATGTACTTAGATAAAAAGTATTACAACTTTTATCCTATTTCAAATATTGACTACATCCTTAGCCTAAAAATTTGATGTTATGTTCCAAATTGTTTTCAAATACTCTTCAGAATCATTCACTCTCGTTCACTCTTATAGTTAAAAAAAAAAATTCTATGCTTAATCATATTCTTCTATAGTACGTTAAATTTCAGAAAACGTCTAATAATTTCATGAAAAATTCAACTTCCCCATTTTTGAGAACTTTTAGTAGCCGTCAAATAACTACAATACGCAGTTCACTGCACTGTAGCAGAGTTTGAATTGATCCTAACAAAAAGAATGACCAATATGACAAAATAATGAGCAAAATTGCAGCTACAACTGCACCAGCAATGGCTCCAATTTTTCCACCGTCTACAAGATAAAATTGAATGACAAATCATAACATTACCAACAAATATTGTCTTTCAACGATCATTTTTGTAAAGCTGAGGGTGTAACCGCTCTCACACCTCATGTATTCATCCCTGTTAACTATTCATGATTTATTTATGGTATAAATTAGGTTTGGAACGCAATGAAATTAGAGAAGACGTACACAAAATCACTAAGGCAGTTATTTGTAGGAATTAAATCGGTTGTATCATAAAACAAAATCTATATTCATCGTTAAAAATTTTCAGGCATTTTACTATACTGAAATTTGCAAAGATCTTGAATCATTGCACTTTAGACATCGATAAACTTCCTTATGCTATTGAAAGCAAACACAAACCTGTGCTTTGGGCAGTTGCCGTCATGGGTCTTTCAGACTTGTGCTTTTGGGCAGTTGCTGCCACTGGACTCCAGTCAGTGGAATAATAATCACCCTGAAACGAAGTGAACATTTATATTTGAATAAAAATTGCAGCAATCAATGCTGATGAAAACGTAAATAAATGGTCGCACCTGATCATTTATGAAAACGCGCTGAAATATTTTGTAGTTAGTGCCAGGCTTTAGCGGGCCATTATAATAATTTTCACCATTGGAACGCCGTGTTGTGTTTTCACCATGACCAAGTGTAAAATCAGGCTTAAAGTCTCTGCGAGAGACTACAGCAGCAATATACGGCATTGGTTGTGTGGAAGATATGGCCTTAGAATAAGTCACTAAGTCTGTGTTGTTAAAGTTAGAAGGCAATCGACTCTCTTCTGTGACATTTTTCATCGCGACTACATAGAAATATCTGCAAATTTAAGGCAAAACATTTTTTAAAATAAATGCATAAACTCTGCTTTTGTTAATGGTTAAAATATATGTTATGCATGCATCCGCAATGCCAAAGAAAAGCAACGAGTCATCAAAGCTTTCCCCAGAGAGATATTTAGACTACCTCTATCCCACATGAAACCAACTGTCCTATACTTAGCCATGAATCTGAAAAACTCAAAAAATACTTTTAAGTTCCTTTAAGTTTTTTTTACAATGATTTGCTCTAGTAAAATACATAGTTACCGATATTCCAAATTTGGATTTTGCAACAAATAAGTCAACGTATTTCCAATCTGATCGGTGGACAGTTCAGGCTCCACTAAATAAATAAACTTGAATAAATTTATCAACTTAAACAAACCTGTGCATAAACCATAGACAACTTACATCCATTTGTAAATACCCATGTAACATTGCTGTAACATCCAGATCCCACTATTGTAGAAGCTAAAACACGAACATAATATTTTGTAACTGGTTTCACATTATTTATGTCCAGACGCTGTTCCTTGATCATATACTTCATTGAACAGGTTTCATTCTCCAAATGTGTAATACAAACAGTGTAATTGACTATCTTTCCATTTGTTTTGTTCTTGTCTGGTGGCTCCCACGTAACTGATAACGATGAACTGCTTAAGGCGACAATTTGAACATTTAAAGGTGGACCTTCAGGAACTAAACAAAAATAAAAACATTTGTTTTAAAGATTTATATAAAATATTAAATACACTTTAGAAAGAATTCGTTAAAAATTTTCAGGCATTTTACTATACTGAAATTTGCAAAGATCTTGAATCATTGCACTTTAGACATCGATAAACTTCCTTATGCTATTGAAAGCAAACACAAACCTGTGCTTTGGGCAGTTGCCGTCATGGGTCTTTCAGACTTGTGCTTTTGGGCAGTTGCTGCCACTGGACTCCAGTCAGTGGAATAATAATCACCCTGAAACGAAGTGAACATTTATATTTGAATAAAAATTGCAGCAATCAATGCTGATGAAAACGTAAATAAATGGTCGCACCTGATCATTTATGAAAACGCGCAGAAATATTTTGTAGCTAGTGCCAGGCTTTAGCGGGCCATTATAATAATTTTCACCATTGGAACGCCGTGTTGTGTTTTCAGCATGACCAAGTGTAAAATTAGGCTTAAAGTCTCTGCGAGAGACTACAGCAGCAATATACGGCATTGGTTGTGTGGAAGACATGGCCATAGAATACGTCACTAAGTCTGTGTTGTTAAAGTTAGAAGGCAATCGACTCTCTTCTGTGACATTTTTCATCGCGACTACATAGAAATATCTGCAAATTTAAGGCAAAACATTTTTTAAAATACATGCATAACCTCTGCTTTTGTTAATGGTTAAAATATATGTTATGCATGCATCCGCAATGCCAAAGAAAAGCAACGAGTCATCAAAGCTTTCCCCAGAGAGATATTTAGACTACCTCTATCCCACATGAAACCAACTGTCCTATACTTAGCCATGAATCTGAAAAACTCAAAAAATACTTTTAAGTTCCTTTAAGTTTTTTTTACAATGATTTGCTCTAGTAAAATACATAGTTACCGATATTCCAAATTTGGATTTTGCAACAAATAAGTCAACGTATTTCCAATCTGATCGGTGGACAGTTCAGGCTCCACTAAATAAATAAACTTGAATAAATTTATCAACTTAAACAAACCTGTGCATAAACCATAGACAACTTACATCCATTTGTAAATACCCATGTAACATTGCTGTAACATCCAGATCCCACTATTGTAGAAGCTAAAACACGAACATAATATTTTGTCCCTGGTTTCACATTATTTATGTCCAAACGCTGTTCCTCGATCATATACTTCATTGAACAGGTTTCATTCTCCAAATGTGTAATACAAACAGTGTAATTGACTATCTTTCCATTTGTTTTGTTCTTGTCTGGTGGCTCCCACGTAACTGATAACGATGAACTGCTTAAGGCGACAATTTGAACATTTAAAGGTGGACCTTCGGGAACTAAACAAAAATAAAAACATTTGTTTTAAAGATTTATATAAAATATTAAATACACTTTAGAAAGAAGTCCTAACAAGTGTACACTGTCATTGTTAACTTAAATATAATACAGTATAAAAACATGATTGAAATAAATATCGACCAGAAAAGATTTGAGCTTTCAAAAGTCGTCTATGGCAATAACACCATCAATGCAACAACAGCCGATATGTATACACAAAACTGATATGAACTCACCATCTTCAGCAGTTCTAAAAGTAGCTGTAGTTGATCTACCAAAGCCTTCAGAATTGCCAGCGGTTACATTAACTTTATACGTTGCGTAAGGAACAAGATTCGTAATGTTGTACGGTTTTTTGTCAGTTACCTCCAGAGTTTTATAAAAAACAATCATAGTATCCTTCAGCAAAATCAATAGATATCTTGTAAGAGGATTCGAGATATTTGTACCAAGTTTTACACCAGTTTTTTTGGGATGTTTCCATGATATCTCGAGGTACGTCGATGCAGATTTGGTTGCAATGAGATCTGTTGGTTTGTCTGGGAGTAAGTCTGCACGATAAAAGAAAAATCTACAAATTGAACCATTTGTAGCCCCTAAGTGAAATAAGTGTTCTGCTTTTTCTCCAATAACACGTGTTAAACTTAACTGCATGTTGAAAAGGCTTGTTTCAATAAGTTTATTTCAACAGAGAAAGAAACTAACACTTCAGCCTTCATGGAAAATTGTTCTGTTTTGTCAACTAACTCATGTTTAATTAATACTCAGAGAAAAAAACTTTATATATTGAAAAATTAAGTGCTTACAGTGCAAAGTAAACCTGGTATATTTTTTCTACCTCTTACCTCCACCACAAATTTCAATTCGTAAACACGGTGCACCAACAAATTTCAATGGAAAGATTCGCAAAGCTTTGGATTTAAGGCCACCAGAAAACTTTTCTATAGCCGCATCATTGTAACCATTTTGTTTCCTAGATAAATCTGGAATAAAACAAAAAATTGATTTTCGTGTATTTGCAGAGCAAGGTTAGAGAAAAGAAAGGTTTGTTTAACGCTGTCCAGAGGAGAGTAGTTTATGCATTGTCTATGTATCTCTTCAAATCATGCACATAGCTACAATTTAAACTTTATAATCAAATGCAAGAGTCCTTCGTAGTGCCAGAGTAGCCAAGACAATCAACACAGTGACGTAGCTAGCCAACAAATTTGGTCGTGCTATATGTAAATTTCTCAGAGCTCACTAACTGTAAAAACAATAGATCTCTAAAGAAATGAATAATGACAATGATCTGAAATTTACATAGAACCAGCAATTTTGCGTGCCGGCTACACCACTGAATCAACATCTGCACAGTTTGTATATAAATAGCAATTTAAAAGTTTACTTAGTTTATAACTTCATTCTTTTTTTAAACTTCCCATTAAATTTATAATATACAAATTCGATAAGTCTACTGTTACCTTCTGGGATTTTTCAGATTTCCAGTTCACACCATCAATGTTTGTCTGCAAGTGATATTTAGTTACAAAGCTTGAACTTGAACTGTCTCCAAAGATAGTGATAACGTTAACTGTATAAAGACTCGGAAAATTCAGTTGAAGGTAATGATCCCCATTAGCAGGAGGAGCACACCATGAACTACCACTGGATATTCTTGCTTTAGCAGCACTACCATTCTTTGGGAAGGCATTCAACCAAGAATCTGGGAATTTTTCTGCGTTTTTCAATAGAGGATTATCACAAACATGACCTTTAATAGAAAAAGATTTGGTTGAAATACATTATAACATTAGAACTGGTTTGATTTGATAGAGAGCAATGGTGCACTCTCATATTGTTCTCCATTCACGTAAAATTGGAAAAATTAAAAACTGTTTTCTTAAGAAAGAAAAAGAGCACAAGATATATTGGATGAATACGACTGATTTTGCATGCTTTTATTAAATAAGGTTAAATTCCTGTTGGAATTAAGCCAGCTATAACAAGAAACCGTAAGTATCTTGTCAAATAACAACAATACCGTAGCGATTTAAATTCCATTAAAGAGTGAACGTCAATCGTATTGCAGAGGAATGACAATTGGACATTTTTTGAAGCACGAAATGAAGTAGCAAGAGTAAAATTAATTTAATCCTCAGTATTCGCAGCAATCCTGTTTTAATTATTTATTATTTAAGAGTAGCAATCGTTTATATTTTGTGATGCTATATTTCTTTTGTTATGTAAAAGAAGAATTGTGAAATTCTCCAAGTCAGCGTAAAATACAGTGACACTACGATGTCAGATGTAAGTCTTGATGATAGAGGTAAGTCATGATGCTTAACAATAGACAGATGTAAGTTGAGAACACAAAAGTAACACATTCATTCCTTAAATTCTTCGCTAAAATCTTTTCTAACGTCATACAAATGTGTCCTGCAATACGTTAATACATTCAAAAAATTGAATGAGAATGCTTACATGTAACGTACGAGTATTGAGAGCAATCATTATTTTGAGTGATAGCACATTGAGATAAATCGTTCACTCGAGCATCACATTTGACAATTCCAGGTATAAACGATTGATGCATCAAAGATGATAGTGACATTGAGCCTCCCCCAGATGCTGCGGTAGGATAACCAAGTTGTTTACAAATAATCGTCTTTATTTTGTGCAAAAGACCTTTGTTGCAAATGGTGAAGTTTCTATACTTGGTAATAACATTCACGACACCTTCGTTCGGAAGATTCGACTTAGACAGGCGTACATCCATAACTACACAAATCAAAATTATTTTTCCTTTAATTGTGATTATGGCGCATATCTTAAAGTGAAATCTGTGTTTTAGAAGTGGTTTTATGAACATAAATATGACAAATCTCGTCCATGAATAAAATATATACACGGAGTTTGAATATCAGAAGAACACAGAAGGTGACATTAACTTAAAAAATTTTAGTTTGAAAGCACTTAACCAGAAATGTTTTCCACATTCTGATGGACACAGTATCTTATAGATTTACACTTAAAGTTGGTAAGCACTGTTTTGATTTTAATCTTTAAGTTGACAATGAACTACAGGCAAATAAGTTGAACTGAGAACTTTTCTCTTGTGTTGTAAACACGAATCACAACAAAATGTGTCTAAGTGATTATGTGAATCATTAATGAAACCAGAACAAATACCGTTTTTTATAGGTGAGCGCTGCGTTTAGCTTCCCAATTCATAGGAATTGTAATGAATCTATCTTTGTATATATATACAGTATATGTAAAAATTCTGTAGTGTGAAGTCATGAAAATATGAATACAAATGCAATTGTAAATGTCACTTTTGGCCTACATAGAATGGCCAAAAGATTTTAAAAGAAATAGATTTGATAAATCAAATTGACTGGAAGAAGATATGTTTCCATGAACAAAGTTTGCATTAACAAACTAAAAACACAAAATTCACCAAACCATTAAACTTATGAAAATATTTAGGACACAAGTTTAAATGTCACATTATAAAAAGACACTAAATTATACAATACGAGATAAAACTGCATAAACAAACCACGCCTGGTGAAGACACCCGACGAAAATTCAAATTTGTGTCAACTTTTCTAAATTGATAACGTACATAGTATAAAAATGAGCACCATACCATTGCGCATTAAGGTCAAAATTTGTCCCGAAGCTTTTTAATAATAAGCAAAATATAATCTGCCCATATAATACTTACGATTGCAAATTTTTCTGTATGGCATACTTGTGTAGTTACATTGATATTCAAAGTAAAGATATTTCTCCAAACCAGGACAAATATTTGAAGGGAAATGATTATCATCAACAGTTACATTACATTCCCTTTCACCATCACAGTAATTTTTAAGGTCACATGTTACATCGACACTACAACTGTGGTTATAACTGTAGCCACAAATGCTTCCGTTTCTCAATCCACGATATTTTGCAACTTTTATCACCATATATTGATTATTAGAACATTTTACGTCCGATATATTTTTTCCACCACATGTTACTGATCCTATTAAAGACAAACAAAAAATAAGTAAATTCATATCTATACATGCTTATCTTTAAAATCCTGTAAAATAAAAGTTGATTTGATAAAAATGAAGTGTGTGATGGCAGTGACTTCACTGGCGCCATTCCTATATCTGCTGCGTTGCAGTGGTTTTTAATCAGAGTTTAAGTATATATACGCTAAAACTGGATGAATATTCCAACTTGCCAAAATTGAATCGTTGATTTTCTTCATTTTTACAACTGGTCAGGATCAAGTAAAAACCTTCTGTAGCTACTATGCATTTATTATAGCGTGAAAAGAATAGACCACCCCAAAATGTCTGGGTTATGGCATTGATGGCTCCGCATTCTCCATTAAAATTTCCATGAGATAAGTCCACATAAATTCCGTATCTCACAAGACACCTTGTTCTTTTCGACCTATTGATGGAGCCAGATTGTAAAAATTTAAAATAAGCTGACTCCTCAAAACAATTCATTGTATACAGGATGGTGCTAAAGGGTAAATTATCCCAAACACACAATCCTGACTGAACATGTTTGATGAAAAATCCATTCGTATCTGAAAAAGGACAACGATACATGATAAAATTAATTGAAAATACCACACTCTACAAAATATATATATAAAAATAATATGACTTTATGAAAAATAATTTACCATACTGAATTGTATCAATATAGGAAAAAACACTCAAAAAAGTCATCTTGAAATTCAACCTTTCTAAAGAATTAAATAAACCAATTGCTGTTGAGGGTCATTTTAAAAATAATGACGTATGAAACAATTTAAGGCATCCAACATGGAGCATTGATCTAAAATACATGGAACGCTACCTGTAATACAAAACCCTAATAATTTTTTAAAGCCGTAATTTTATCCCAGACACGCAAGACTTTACCCCAGACACGAGTGTGTAGTCATTCAATTTTTACTCCGCGAGAGGAACTCGAAACACTAAACGCGCGTGTCTTGGGTAACATCTCGCGTGTGTAGCGTAAAATATGGTTCAATTATATGCTTGATGTAGTGTTCCATGTATTTTAGTTCAATGGCATGGAGACTGAAAAATTTTACAAACAAGTTGATAAGTGTAAAAAATCAATTAATAAAAATTTCACGGCGCACGGTCTGTAAAACTGAATTGTGAACTCTGTAAGCTGTACACTCTTTTTGGTGGAGTTCATTTAAGTTGTGCTGTGAAATAGTGCTCTTGATAATAAGAATACCAGAGTTGCCCAATTTAAAATTCCAAACAATTTAAATAAATATCATGCCAGGGCTTATACAAAATCGTGAAGCTTTTTTACGGGTTTATAAAGGTTTATACATGCAGAGGAGAGATGCATACAAATATGTACAGGGATATTATACAGAGGGTTAATATACAACGAAATTTACTTCTACTGAAGTGATATAAGAACATTCTCCCGTTAAAAATATTGAACAATTTTTGGATTAAGTTGAGCATGATATAAAAGAATATTCAGAGCGAGGTCAATTGGATATCTACCGAAGCAAATCTGAGGGGGATAGCGCTGACTGCAGTCTGATTGAAAAATTTTTGCGGTTCGCTTTCGTCTATTTCCTGTAAATACGCGATGAAAACTCATAATCATAACATTACCAACAAATATTGTCTTTCAGCGATTATTTTTGTAAAGCTGAGGGTGTAACCGCTCTAACACCCCGTGTAGTCATCCCTGTTAACTATTCATGATTTATTTATGGTATAAATTTGGTTTGCAATGCAATGAAATTAGAGAAGAGGTACACGAAATCACTAAGGCAGTTATTTATGGGAATTAAATCGGCTGTATCATCAAACAAAATCTGTATTCATCGTTAAAAATTTTCAGACATTTCACTATACTGAAATTTGCAAAGATCTTGAATCATTACACTTTAGACATCGATAAACTTCCTTATGCTATTGAAAGCAAAAACAAACCTGAAGACTTGTGCTTTTGGGGAGTTGCTGCCACTGGACTCCAGTCAGTGGAATAATAATCACCCTGAAACGAAGTGAACATTTATATTTGAATAAAAATTGCAGCAATCAATGCTGATGAAAACGTAAATAAATGGTCGCACCTGATCATTTATGAAAACGCGCTGAAATATTTTGTATTTAGTGCCAGGCTTTAGCGGGCCATTATAATAATTTTCACCATTGGAACGCCGTGTTGTGTTTTCACCGTCACCAAGTGTAAAATCAGGCTTAAAGTCTCTGCGAGAGACTACAGCAGCAATATACGGCATTGATTGTGTGGAAGATATGGCCTTAGAATAAGTCACTAAGTCTGTGTTTTTAAAGTTAGAAGGCAGTCGACTCTCTTCTGTGACATTTTTCATCGCGACTACATAAAAATATCTGCAAATTTAAGGCAAAACATTTTTTCAAATACATGCGTAACCTCTGCTTTTGTTAACGGTTAAAATATATGTTATGCATGCATCCGCAATGCCAAAGAAAAGCGACGAGTCATCAAAGCTTTCCCCAGAGAGATATTTAGACTACCTCGATCCCACATGAAACCAACTGTCCTATACTTAGCCATGAATCCGATAAACTCAAAAAATACTTTTAAGTTCCTTTAAGTTTTTTCTACAATAATTTGCTCTAGTAAAATACATAGTTACCGATATTCCACATTTGGATTTTGCAACAAATAAGTCAACGTATTTCCAATCTGCTTGGTGGACAGTTCAGGTGCCACTAAATAAATAAACTTGAATAAATTTATCATCTTAAACAAACCTGTGCATAAACCATAGACAACTTACATCCATTTGTAAATACCCATGTAACATTGCTGTAACATCCAGATCCCACTATTGTAGAAGCTAAAACACGAACATAATATTTTGTCCCTGGTTTCACATTATTTATGTCCAAACGCTGTTCCTCGATCATATACTTTATTGAACAGATTTCATTCTCCAAATGTGTAATACAAACAGTGTAACTGACTATCTTTCCATTTGTTTTCTTCTTGTCTGGTGGCTCCCACGTAACTGATAACGATGAACTGCTTAAGACGACAATTTGAACATTTAAAGGTGGACCTTCGGGAACTAAACAAAAATAAAAACATTTGTTTTAAAGATTTATATAAAATATTAAATACACTTTAGAAAGAAGTCCTAACATGTGTACACTGTCATTGTTAACTTAAATATAATACATTATAAAAAAAACATGATTGAAATAAATATCGACCAGAAAAGATTTGAGCTTTCAAAAGTCGTCTATGGCAATAACACCATCAATGCAACAACAGCCGATATGTATACACAAAACTGATATGAACTCACCATCTTCAGCAGTTCTAAAAGTAGCTGTAGTTGATCTACCAAAGCCTTCAGAATTGCCAGCGGTTACATTAACTTTATACGTTGCGTAAGGAACAAGATTCGTAATGTTGTACGGTTTTTTGTCAGTTACCTCCAGAGTTTTATCAAAACAATCATAGTATCCTTCAGCAAAATCAATAGATATCTTGTAAGAGGATTCGAGATATTTGTACCAAGTTTTACACCAGTTTTTGGGATGTTTCCATGATATCTCGAGGTACGTCGATGCAGATTTGGTTGCAATGAGATCTGTTGGTTTGTCTGGGAGTAAGTCTGCACGATAAAGAAAAATCTACAAATTGAACCATTTGTAGCCCCTAAGTGAAATAAGTGTTCTGCTTTTTCTCCAATAACACGTGTTAAACTTAACTGCATGTTGAAAAGGCTTGTTTCAATAAGTTTATTTCAACAGAGAAAGAAGCTAACACTTCAGCCTTCATGGAAAATTGTTCTGTTTTGTCAACTAACTCATGTTTAATTAATACTCAGAGAAAAAAACTTTATACATTGAAAAATTAAGTGCTTACAGTGCAAAGTAAACCTTGTATATTTTTTCTACCTCTTACCTCCACCACAAATTTCAATTCGTAAACACGGTGCACCAACAAATTTCAATGGAAAGATTCGCAAAGCTTTGGATTTAAGGCCACCAGAAAACTTTTCTACAGCCGCATCATTGTTTTCTAGATAAATCTGGAATAAAACAAAAAAATTGATTTTCGTGTATTTGCAGAGCAAGGTTAGAGAAAAGAAAGGTTTGTTTAACGCTGTCCAGAGGAGAGTAGTTTATGCATTGTCTATGTATCTCTTCAAATCATGCACATAGCTACAATTTAAACTTTATAATTAAATGCAAGAGTCCTTTGTAGTGCAGGAGTAACCAAGACAATCAACACAGTGACGTAGCTAGCCCACAAATTTGGTCGTGCTATATGTAAATTTCTCAGAGCTCACTAACTGTAAAAACAATAGATCTCTAAAGAAATGAATAATGATAATGATCTGAAATTTACATAGAACCAGTAATTTTGCGTGCCGGCTACACCACTGAATCAACATCTGCACACAAGTTTGTATATAAATAGCAATTTAAAAGTTTACTTAGTTTATAACTTCATTCCTATTTTAAAATCCCTTTAAATTTATAATATACAAATTCGATAAGTCTACTGTTACCTTCTGGGATTTTTCAGATTTCCAGTTCACACCATCAATGTTTGTCTGCAAGTGATATTTAGTTATAAAGCTTGAACTTGAACTGTCTCCAAAGATAGTGAGAACGTTAACTGTATAAAGACTCGGAAAATTCAGTTGAAGGTAATGATTGCCATTAGCAGCAGGAGCACACCATGAACTACCACTGGATATTCTTGCTTTAGCAGCACTACGACTCTTTGGGAAGGCAGTAAACAAAGAATCTGGGAATTTTTCTGCGTTTTTTAATAGAGGATTATCACAAACATGACCTTAAATAGAAAAGGATTTGGTTGAAATGCATTATAACATTAGAACTGGTTTGATTTGATAGAGAGCAATGGTGCACTCTCATATTGTTCTCCATTCACGTAAAATTGGAAAAATTAAAAACTGTTTTCTTAAGAAAGAAAAAGAGCACAAGATATATTGGAGGAATACGACTGATTTTGCATGCTTTTATTAAATAAGATTAAATTCCAGTTGGAATTAAGCCAGCTATGACAAGAAACCGTAAGTATCTTGTCTAATAACAAAAATACCGTAGCAATTTAAATTCCATTAAAGAGTGAACGTCAATCGTATTGCAGAGGAATGACAATTGGACATTTTTTGAAGCACGAAATGAAGTAGCAAGAGTAAAATTAATTTAATCCTCAGTATTTGCAGCAATCCTGTTTTAATTATTTATTATTTAAGAGTAGCGCTCGTTTATATTTTGTGATGCTATATTTCTTTTGTTATGTAAAAGAAGAATTGTGAAATTCTCCAAGTCAGCGTAAAAGACGGTGACACTACGATGTCAGATGTAAGTCTTGATGAAAGAGGTAAGTCATTATGCTTAACATTAGACAGATGTAAGTTGAAAACACAAAAGTAACACATTCATAACAAATAATCGTCTTCATTTGATGCAAAAGACTGTTGTTGCAAATGGTGAAGTTTCTAAGCTTGGTAATAACATTCACGACACCTTCGTTCGGAAGATTCGACTTAGACAGGCGTACATCCATAACTACACAAGTCAAAATTATTTTTCCTTTAATTGTGATTATGGCGCATATCTTAAAGTGAAATCTGTGTTTTTAGAAGTGGTTTTATGAACATAAATATGACAAATCTCGTCCATGAATAAAATATATACACGGAGTTTGAATATCAGAAGAACACAGAAGGTGACATTAACTTAAAAACAAATTTAGTTTGAAAGCACTTAACCAGAAATGTTTTCCACATTCTGATGGACACAGTATCTTATAGATTTACACTTAAAGTTGGTAAGCACTGTTTTGATTTTAATCTTTAAGTTGACAATGAACAACAGGCAAATAAGTTGAACTGAGAACTTTTCTCTTGTGTTGTAAACACGAATCACAACAAAATGTGTCTAAGTGATTATGTGAATCATTAATGAAACCAGAACAAATACCGTTTTTTTATAGGTGAGCGCTGCGTTTAGCTTCCCAATTCATAGGAATTGTAATGAATCTATCTTTGTATATATATACAGTATATGTAAAAATTCTGTAGTGTGAAGTCATGAAAATATGAATACAAATGCAATTGTAAATGTCACTTTTGGCCTACATAGAATGGCCAAAAGATTTTAAAAAATAAATAGATTTGATAAATCAAATTGACTGGAAGAAGATATGTTTCCATGAACAAAGTTTGCATTAACAAACTAAAAACACAAAATTCACCAAACCATTAAACTTATAAAAATATATTGGACACAAGTTTAAATGTCACATTATAAAAAGACACTAAATTATACAATACGAGATAAAACTGCATAAACAAACCACGCCTGGTGAAGACACCCGACGAAAATTCAAATTTGTGTCAACTTTTCTAAATTGATAACGTACATAGTATAAAAATGAGCACCATACCATTGCGCATTAAGGTCAAAATTTGTCCCGAAGCTCTTTAATAATAAGCAAAATATAATCTGCCCATATAATACTTACGATTGCAAATTTTTCTGTATGGCATACTTGTGTAGTTACATTGATATTCAAAGTAAAGATATTTCTCCAAACCAGGACAAATATTTGAAGGGAAATGATTATCATCAACAGTTACATTACATTTTCTTTTACCATCACAGTAATTTTTAAGGTCACATGTTACATCGACACTACAATTGTAATCAAGACTTAAACCACAAATGCTTCCTTTTCTCAATCCACGATATTCTGCATTTCTTATCACCATATATTGATTATTAGAACAACTAACGTCCGATATATTTTTTCCTGCACATGTCACTGATCCTATAGAAGACACACAAAAAATAAGTAAATTCCAATCTATACAAGCTTATCTTTAAATTCCTATAAAATAAAAGTTGATTTGATAAAAATTAAGTGCGTGATGGCAGTGACTTAACTGGCGCCATTCCTATATCTGTGGCCTTGCAGTTGTTTTTAGGTAGAGTTTAAGTAAATATACGCTAACTGGATGAATATTCTAACTTGCCAAAATTGAATCGCTGATCTTCTTCATTTTTACAATTAACCAGTCTTACGCGGAAATAAACTTCTGTAGCTACTATGCATTTGTTATAGCGTGAAAAGAATAGACCACCCCAAAATGTCTGAGTTATGGCATTGATGGCTCCGCATTCTCCATTAAAATTTCCATCAGATAACTCCACATAAATCCCGTATCTCACAAGACACCTTGCTGTATTCGACCTATTGATGGAGCCAGATTGTAAATATTTAAAATAAGCTGATTCTTCAAAACAATTCCATGTATACAGGAAGTGTAAATGATCCCGAACACACTTTCCTGACTGATACCATTGCGCATTAAGGTCAAAACTTGTCCCGAAGCTCTTTAATAATAAGCAAAATATAATCTGCCCATATAATACTTACGATTGCAAATTTTTCTGTATGGCATACTTGTGTAGTTACATTGATATTCAAAGTAAAGATATTTCTCCAAACCAGGACAAATATTTGAAGGGAAATGATTATCATCAACAGTTACATTACATTTTCTTTCACCATCACAGTAATTTTTAAGGTCACATGTTACATCGACACTACAATTGTAATCAAAACTTGAGCCACAAATGCTTCCGTTTCTCAATCCACGATATTCTGCAACTTTTATCACCATATATTGATTATTAGAACAACTAACGTCCGATATATTTTTTCCATCACATGTTACTGAGCCTATTAAAGACACACAAAAAATAAGTAAATTCGAATCTATGCAAGCTTATTCGTAAATTCCTGTAAAATAAAAGTTGATTTGATAAAAATGAAGTGTGTGATGGCAGTGACTTCAATGGCGCCATTCCTATATCTGCTGCCTTGCAGTGGCTTTTAATCAGAGTTTAAGTATATATAAATTAACTGGATGAATATTCTCACTTGCCAAAATTAAATCGCTGATCTTCTTCATTTTTACAATTGGCCAGTATCAAGTTGAAAAGACCTTCTGTAGTTACTATGCATTTATTATAGCGTGAAAACAATAGACCACCCCAATTTGTTTGGGTTATGGTGTTGATGGCTCCGCATCCTCCATTAAAATTTCCATAAGATAACCGCACATAAATTCCGTTTCTCACAAGACACCTTGTTGTATTCGGCTTATTGATGGAACCAGATTGTAAAAATTTAAAATAATCTTGCCCCCTAAAACAATTCATTGTATACAGGAAGAGTAAATCATTCCAAACACACTTTCCTGACTGAACATGTTTGATGAAAAATCCATTCATATCTGAAAAAGGACAATGATACATGATAAAATTGATTGAAAATACCACACTCTACAAAATATATATATAAAAATAATATGACTTTATGAAAAATAATTTAGCATACTGAATTCTATCAATATAGGAAAAAACACTCCAAAAAAAGCCACCTTGAAATTCAACCTTTCTAAAGAATTAAATAAACCAATTGCTGTTGAGAGTCATTTTAAAAATAATGGCGTATGAAACAATTTAAGGCATTCAGCATGGAGCATTGATCTAAAATACATGGAACGCTACCTGTAATACAAAACCCTAATAATTTCTTAAACCCGTGATTTTCTCCAGACACGCAAGTCTTTACCCCAGACACGAGTGTGTAGTCAATCAATTTTTACTCCGCGAGAGGAACTCGAAACACTAAACGCGCGTGTCTTGGGTAAAATATCGCGTGTGTAGCGTAAAATATGGTTCAATTATATGCTTGATGTAGCGTTCCATGTATTTTAGTTCAATGGCATGGAGACTGAAAATTTTACAAACAAGTTGAAAAGTGTAAAAATCAATTAATAAAAATTTCACGGCGCACGGTCTGTTACGATGGAAAAGGAGAGTTATGGTTTGTTTACGCAATTGAAATATTTGAAATATTTTAAGATTGTTTGCTGAACCTGATTTTTCATCTGTATAAACTCCCATGACTTTCGTTTTGATGAAAAGGAAGTTTATCTAAGCACTTATACAAATTTGTGCCCAGAAAAAGTTGATGATTTAGGTTAGTATTATTCAAACTTGAAGACAAGGAATATATAATTCAATGTAAAACTGAATTGTGAACTCTGTAAGCTGTACACTCTTTTGGTGGAGTTCATTTAAGTTGTGCTGTGAAATAGTGCTCTTGATAATAAGAATACCAGAGTTGCACAATTTAAAATTCCAAACAATTTAAATAAATATCATGCCAGGGCTTATACAAAATCGTGAGGCTTTTTTACGGGTTTATAAAGGTTTATACATGCAGAGGAGAGATGCATACAAATATGTACAGGGATATTATACAGAGGGTTAATATACAACGAAATTTATTTCTACTGAAGTGATATAAGAACATTCTCCCGTTAAAAATATTTAACAATTTTTGGATTAAGTTGAGCATGATATAAAAGAATATTCAGACCGAGGTCAATTGGATATCTACCGAAGCAAATCTGAGGGGGATAGCGCTGACTGCAGTCTGATTGAAAAATTTTGCGGTTCGCTTTCGTCTATTTCCTGTAAATACGCGATGAAAACTCTCTGGACAAACAGTTTAACACTTTCGGTGTTTTTCGTCTATATTCCCGATAATTTGAGCAGAGTAAAACACTTGAAAGTCTCGATGAAGATTCTACCAAAATATTTCTTGTATATACAGTTGTCTCATAAAGAAAATTCCTCACCTACAGGTAATTTTCAATGTTTTTCTAGGTGATAGTGTATTGACAATTAGTTGAAGGCTTTTAGACAATCACAATCGAGATTGCATCACCGTTGTATTATAATAATAAAGCTTAACTAGCACAGATCAATATATGAACATCTTAACCCTAACCCTCACACCCATTAACAAACAACCAAAATCTTCCAACGTGATCGTTAATGAATAAAATCAATAAACCCGAAAATAACCAAGACACGCTCTTGAATTGAGCTTTTACTCTTTTACAGGTTTACATTATAACATATGTATGACGAATTAAACATGTTTGACTGTTCCGGGGTGTATTCTATTAGCTTTGCAACTGCAAAGAAATTGACTTAAGAGTATACGTACATGATGAATTAAATATAGGTCAAAGTGTCGTATGGATTTGAGCAAAGTTGAATATAAAGCATTATAATCAAATTGGTGTACTATAAATTAAACTGACACAGGAGAAACTAAAATGAACTGCCCTTGCACGTACCTTGTGGTTTTTTGCTAACGTTAAAGACAACATAACAAGTGTAATTTTTTCCACCGTATACAACATACTTGTTGTAAGGGATTTCGTATTGTCCGATTTTAAAGTAAGTCCAACCTATAGGATCATACTCTTCTACTCTTTCATTTATGTACTTATGTGAACACGTGAAGTTTCCTGGTTCTTTCCCCTTTTCGAATATAGCTTTTCGTAAAAGACGATTATAATCATGATAGATGTGTGACAAAACAGTAAAGTTTAAAATAAACGGGCTGCATCCACATGTCCCTAACAAAAAATTAAGTTATCTTTAACTGGTTGTCCAGAGAAAAAGAACAAGTAGAAAGTGATACTCATTTGGCCACAAAATGTTACATACTATTCACATTGAATCGAAAGTCCTCCTTAAACCCAATTAGACAATATCTATACAGACTTTATCATATAACAGCATATATTACTATTTTTGACTCTACTGTCATATTACTTTGCTTTTGTAACTAGACAGAGGAACAATGAACGAGATATTATTCTGCGTCAAGGCTGTGAAGCTAGTGTATCCAAATCAGTTGAGTACTTTAACATGTACCTTACGGGTTCAAACCATTTACTTTAGGTACCTTACTTTATTGCACTTTCTAAGAACACGGTTTCAATTACATATTTAAATTAAATAGTACCTCAGTAATAAGTGTTGTGATTGTTTGCCAAGTACATGGCCAGTTGATGTTCTGTACTTACTGTAAACTGAACTGTTGTTTACTTTACCTTCGAGTGGACATATTTCACTAAACATTTTAAATCGCTCCAAAAGATATTTCTTCTCCTCAACACAACAACGTGTACGAGTATTGTTGCATTTCGAATCGATTTCAATTTTGTCCGCCACAAATTTCTTCCATTCTTCCTCACAAAACTCAAGTTCTTCATTCCAACCCATTTTCATTGTGAATCCTTGACCAAATAACAGCCACAATAACCACCATATCATTAAACTCATCATTGCATAGATCCAAGGATATACAGTAAAGCTCTAAATTATAATTGATTGTTGGATGTATGTACGTTATCACAGAAGACTTTAAATTTATATTTAGATCGACAATGACTACGTCACAATTACATCTGTGATGCAAGCAGATCACGATCAAAACGTATTTTGAGCAATATATGAGCATTATCTAAAAAGTCATTTCAGCAAAATAGATGTTCGAGATTAGTCTCATATGGCTGCATGATGGCTCTCTTATTGGTAGCCACTGTAGCTATTATATAGGTACGTGGTTATAATTTTCTTAAAATAATGAAACTTGGTTAACTTTAAATTTATGCTTTATTCTTCTTACTCGGTTCAGTCTAAATTTCAACTTCTTGTGTTTCAAGAGATTTATTGAACGATGAAAAATGCTTTTAGTGGATAGCGCTAAGGAAGTGAAGAAAGCGAGATCAAATTAAAATCAAAGCAAATCATTTATTTTAGATAAAATAGATTAAAAACCCAAGACGATGTTAAAATTCTTTATCTGAATATGAAAATAGCAATTGTGCATGCAGAGCTTCCCATTAGCTATTTCATTTCAATTTCCTGTTATGTCATGATACATGTAAAAAACGTATGAAATCATAAAGTACTTTACAATTTCTTGTAACGCAGCCTCTATAGCTGTATAGTTATACCCGTATTGTCTCTAATGCTATACCCGTATTGGATTTTCATTCGAATTTTTAATTCATCGAATTCAACACATTAGCAGGTATAAAACAGCTAAATTGCTCAGTTGACAAATTCAAAAAGTTACAGTTGAAAAATTAACTAAACAAATTAAAAATTTCAAAAGATAATGACCAAAAAATAATGTTGAAAGGGTGTTAGATATTTTTTCTATTGAGGAGGAAAGAGCTTACGAAATAAACGAACGTCGATATTAAGGGCAGCTAAGTAGTTTTGGGTTTCAGCGTTATCTTGAGATTGCTCAAATTCTTTTATAAAAATTTACAGAAATATCACAGAAAATCGTAGAAATGTTGTGCAAATTTTTACATTTTTTCAAGCTTATTCCTTTGCTTGCAGTTATTTGTGGAGTACTTGATGACAATGAATACTCCATAAGAATTGAAAATCATTAGGGGATTTCTTTTTAATTTTTCGCAGGTTCCGCTAAAGAACAAAATTTTTTACAAAACAGTGGAATAGGATTTGCTTTTGAAGTAGTTGAGAGATTTGAGCAAAAATTATGATAGTATATAAATATATGAATCAAAACATTAATATGATAACTTGTCCCAAATCCTACATCTAGCGTGGAGGTATTGTGGTAAATGAAAAAATCTCTCCATTTACCATAAGAATCAAATCATTTGGGGGGCGTAAGTTGTTTGGTGTTTGTATTAACACTTATTTGCCAAACTCAGTCGAAGAAAAAATTTTCAGTATTAAATAATATAAATAAGATAAGCAAACTTCCGTTTTACTATCAACTACATCACATCTTACCTTTGTTTTTTTGTTAATTGAAAAACGGACACAATAAGGCGACTGCAGATATACACCTAAAACAAATACAGAAAAATTAAGATACATACAAGTCAGACGAACAACAGAGTTGTGGCTTTCGCAACGTTTTACTTGCAACTGCTGGCCAAGGCTGTCGGCGTCCTTAAATGTACAGTTCCATATTGAGTATATACAAACACTCATGCCATCTGCCCCAGTTATTCAACATTTTATAGAATTTGTTTTGCGTCAAATCCTATCCTTTACGAATCAACAATAATACTTTAAATGTTTGGAAATTTGGATGTTGTTGTTGGTTGACAAAGCAATGTTATAGAAGATAAAGTTATTGATATTTTAGAGAATTACCTCTGTTTATAGCTACAAAGCAACGAAGCACAAATAATGCATCTAATGTGGGCAAACACGGCAAAGCAGGTTAATGACTTCAAGTGCTCAATGACGAAAAATTATATTGTTCCAATATAAAACGTATTTTAAGTTTTTGACTATCAACTTTACCAACAGTAAATTCAATTTTGCTGACAGTCATTAGCAAAATTTTAGGCCCTAAATACAACAAATTGTGTCGGACCGAACTATACAGTAAAATTTACATCGTAATACCAGCTGTAACTTTATTGCCTACAGGTGTTTGTTTAAACAATAGACACAATACGACAGCAGCGAAAATACAGTGAGAAATGACAAGAAAAACATCGCTTCAAGAATAATGACTTATGAATGAAAAATGGTTTAAGTGATTGGGTTCAGCGGTAAAGAATTAAGAACAACAATTTAACATTTCAATATTAATTTTAATTTGGTAAAAAACAAACTTCTAGTTGATGCATTGGACAGCCACTCTGTTGGATATTATCAAAGTCTACTACAACAAGCAAGGATCATTTCAATTTAGGCAATTTTCACAATTTTCTTCGTAACTTAGCTATGTTAATTAGCTGTAAAGTGTTGTTGTTAAGCCTACGTTTTGATGTGAACAGGTGGAAGGAAAAGCATGTAGAAACACATAAATTTTGAAATACCAAATTAAAATTAGTTGTATTATAAGGCCTTTACTAATTGGGAACTCTTTAAAGAGAAATATCGGATCATTTAATTCTTTATGTGCAGACCTAGCAGGCTCGAAGAGCAAATAAACAAGTTAATAAAAGGTTTATTATAAAGTATTATTTAAACTGAAACGAAGTTTTCTTTACTTTTTTGTCCTCGCTGTTTTGTAAAAGTTGGCATTCTCTTCTGTTTTCTTTTTGTTTTCAAATTTTTTGCTGTTTGTTTTTCGAAATTTGTTTAGATTTGTTTGTAAAATTACCTGTTATGAACCGCTGGTTTGAATTGTTATATATCTGAGAGACTGTATATGGTCATTGTCAACATTAAGTCATTAACAACATTTAACTATGTAATAACATGGTGGCCTCTTGCTATCACAGGGACGCTTACTGACTTATTTCCTCATCAAAGTATTCATTAGGGACGTTTAGACTAAATATTCCTCGTCAGTACAATCAATAGGGACGTTTAGACTAAATATCGTCATCAACAATGAAACAATACGCCTATTACTGGATTGCATACAATTTCCACTGCAAAACTAAGTCAAAGAAAAAATTTGCTGTATATTAAATGCTAACAAAGCAACGAGGATAAACAAACATTCGTTTTACCATCAACTGTAGCCAACGAAATTTATTACATCTTACCTTTTGTTCTTTTATTGTCTTTACGTCTTTGTTTGAAAAACGCACACAAAAAGGCAACTGCAGAAATACGCCTTAAAGAAACAGAGAAAGTGAATATTCGTACAAGCATGGTAAACAATAGAGTTGTGGTTTTCGCAAAGTTTACTTGTAAGTGCTGGCCAAAGCTGTTTCCTCAAGTGTGGAGTAGCGTGTATTGAGAATATATAAATATGCACTTATGCCGACTGCCACAATTATTTAACATTTTATTGAATTTCGTTTTGCCTCAAATCCTACCCTTTATGAATCAACAATAATACTTTAAATGTGTTAGAAAATTTGGAAACAAAGAAAAATTAAGATACATACATTGGTTGACGAAGCAATGTTATAGAAGATAAGTTTTTGATATTTTACCTCTGTTTAGACAAAGTGCCGAAACAAAATTAATGCATCTAAACTGGGTGAACACGGCAAAACAGGTTAATGACTTCGAGTGCTAAATGACAAAAAATGATATTGTTTCCATTGCGTATTTTAAGTTCTTAAATATTAACTTTGTTAACACTAAATTTAATTTTTGCTAACATTCATTGGTAAAAAATTGTAACCGCAAATACACCAAGTTATGTCGAACCGAACTATACAGTAAAATTTACAACATGAAACCAGCTTTTTTTATTTCTTACAACTCTTTGTTCACTAGACGACAGCAGCACAAATACAATGAGAAATGGAAAAAAAATAATGCATCAAAGAATAATGACTTATGAATGAAAAATGGTTTAAGTGATTGGGTTCAACGGTAAAGAATTAAGAACAACAATTTAACATTTCAATATTAAATTTTAATTTGGTAAAAAACAAACTTCTAGTTGATGCTTTGGACAGCCACTCTGTTGGATATTATCAAAGTCTACTACAACAAGCAAGGATCATTTCAATTTAGGCAATTTTCACAATTTTCTTCGTAACTTAGCTACGTTAATTAGCTGTAAAGGATTGTTGTTAAGCCTAGGTTTTGATGTGAACAGGTCTAAGGAAAAGCATGTTCAAACACATAAATTTTGAAATACCAAATTAAAATTAGTTGTATTATAAGGCCTTTACTAATTGGGAACTCTTTAAAGAGAAATATCGGATCATTTAATTCTTTATGTGCAGACCTAGCAGGCTCGAAGAGCGAATAAACAAGTTAATAAAAGGTTTATTATAAAGTATTATTTAAACTGAAACGAAGCCTTTCTTTACTTTTTTGTCCTCGCTGTTTTGTAAAAGTTGGCATTCTCTCCTGTTTTCTTTTTGTTTTCAAATTTTTTGCTGTTTGTTTTTCGAAATTTGTTTAGATTTGTTTGTAAAATTACCTGTTATGAACCGCTGGTTTGAATTGTTATATATCTGAGAGACTGTATATGGTCATTGTCAACATTAAGTTCTTAACAACATTTAACTATGTAATAACATGGTGGCCTCTTGCTATCACAGGGATGTTTACTGACATGTTTCTTCATCAAAGTATTCATTAGGACGTTTAGACTAAATATCCTCATCAACAATGAAACAAAACGCCTACTCCTGGATTGCATACAATTTCCACGAATTATGAAAAAAATTGACTCAATTCTGATCAATAAAAACGTTTTAAAGTTGATGTCTTAAGCCTTTGAAAACCACAATACTTCAAGGGAAGGCCGGCATCATGTAAGCTGCTAAACTCAGTCAAAGAAAAAATTTGCTGTATATTAAATGCTAGCAAAGCAACGAGGATAAACAAACATTCGTTTTACCATCAACTGTAGCCAACAAAATTTAATACATCTTACCTTTTGTTCTTTTATTGTCTTTACGTCTTTGTTTGAAAAACGCACACAAAAAGGCAACTGCAGAAATACGCCTTAAACAAGCAGAGAAAGTGAATATTCGTACAAGTATGGTAAACAATAGAGTTGTGGTTTTCGCAAAAATTTACTTGTAAGTGCTGGCCAAAGCTGTTTCCTCCAGTGTGGAGTAGCCTGTATTGAGAATATATAAACATGCACTTATGCCGACTGCCACAATTATTTATCATTTTATTGAATTTCGTTTTTCCTCAAATCCTACCCTTTACGAATCGACAATAATACTTTAAATGTGTTAGAAAATTTGGAAACAAAGAAAAATTAAGATACATACATTGGTTGACGAAGCAATGTTATAGAAGATAAGTTTTTGATATTTTACCTCTGTTTAGACAAAGCGCCGAAGCAAAATTAATGCATCTAAACTGGGTGAACACGGCAAAACAGGTTAATGACTTCAAGTGCTAAATGACAAAAAATGATATTGTTTCCATTGCGTATTTTAAGTTCTTAAATATTAACTTTGTTAACACTAAATTTAATTTTTGCTAACAGTCATTGGTAAAAAATTGTAACCGCAAATACACCAATTTATGTCGAACCGAACTATACAGTAAAATTTACAACATGAAACCAGCTTTTTTTATTTCTTACAACTCTTTGTTCACTAGACGACAGCAGCACAAATACAATGAGAAATGGAAAAAAAATAATGCATCAAAGAATAATGACTTATGAATGAAAAATGGTTTAAGTGATTGGGTTCAACGGTAAAGAATTAAGAACAACAATTTAACATTTCAATATTAAATTTTAATTTGGTAAAAAACAAACTTCTAGTTGATGCTTTGGACAGCCACTCTGTTGGATATTATCAAAGTCTACTACAACAAGCAAGGATCATTTCAATTTAGACAATTTTTACAGTTTTCTTCGTAACTTAGCTATGTTAATTAGCTGTAAAGTGTTGTTGTTAAGCCTACGTTTTGATGTGAACAGGTGGAAGGAAAAGCATGTAGAAACACATAAATTTCGAAAAACCGTATTAAAGTTAGTTGTAGAATAAGTCCCTTACTAAGCAATCGCGAATTCTTTAAAGAAAAATTCGGATCATTTAATTCTTTATGTGCAGACCTCGCAGGCTCGAAGAGCGAATAAACAAGTTAATAAAAGTTTTATTATAAAGTATTACTTAAACTGAAACGAAGCCTTTCTTTACTTTTTTGTCCTCGCTGTTTTGTAAAAGTTGGCATTCTCTCCTGTTTTCTTTTTGTTTTCAAATTTTTTGCTGTTTGTTTTTCGAAATTTGTTTAGATTTGTTTGTAAAATTACCTGTTATGAACCGCTGGTTTGAATTGTTATAGATCTGAGAGACTGTATATGGTCATTGTCAACATTAAGTCATTAACAACATTTAACTATGTAATAACATGGTGGCCTCTTGCTATCACAGGGACGTTTACTGACATGTTTCCTCATCAAAGTATTCATTAGGGACGTTTAGACTAAATATTCCTCATCAACAATGAAACAATACGCCTATTCCTGGATTGCATACAATTTCCACGGAATTATGAAAAAAATTGACTCAATTCTGATCTATGAAAACGTTTAATAGTTGATGTCTTTAGCCTTTGGAAACCACAATACTTCGAGGGAAGGCCGGCATCATGTAAACTGCAAAACTAAGTCAAAGAAAAAATTTGCTGTATATTAAATGCTAACAAAGCAACGAGGATAAACAAACATTCGTTTTACCATCAACTGTAGCCAACGAAATTTATTACATCTTACCTTTTGTTCTTTTATTGTCTTTACGTCTTTGTTTGAAAAACGCACACAAAAAGGCAACTGCAGAAATACGCCTTAAAGAAACAGAGAAAGTGAATATTCGTACAAGCATGGTAAACAATAGAGTTGTGGTTTTCGCAAAGTTTACTTGTAAGTGCTGGCCAAAGCTGTTTCCTCAAGTGTGGAGTAGCCTGTATTGAGAATATATAAACATGCACTTATGCCGACTGCCACAATTATTTAACATTTTATTGAATTTCGTTTTGCCTCAAATCCTACCCTTTACGAATCGACAATAATACTTTAAATGTGTTAGAAAATTTGGAAACAGAGAAAAATTAAGATACATACATTGGTTGACGAAGCAATGTTATAGAAGATAAGTTTTTGATATTTTATCTCTGTTTAGACAAAGCGCCGAAGCAAAATTAATGCATCTAAACTGGGCGAACACGGCAAAACAGGTTAATGACTTCAAGTGCTAAATGACAAAAAATGATATTGTTCCCATTGCGTATTTTAAGTTCTTAAATATTAACTTTGTTAACACTAAATTTAATTTTTGCTAACAGTCATTGGTAAAAAATTGTAACCGCAAATACACCAATTTATGTCGAACCGAACTATACAGTAAAATTTACAACATGAAACCAGCTTTTTTTATTTCTTACAACTCTTTGTTCACAAGACGACAGCAGCACAAATACAATGAGAAATGGCAAAAAAATAATGCATCAAAGAATAATGACTTATGAATGAAAAATGGTTTAAGTGATGGGGCTCAGCGGTAAAGAATTAAGAACAACAATTTAACATTTCAATATTAATTTTAATTTGGTAAAAAACAAACTTCTAGTTGATGCATTGGACAGCCACTCTGTTGGATATTATCAAAGTCTACTACAACAAGCAAGGATCATTTCAATTTAGACAATTTTTACAGTTTTCTTCGTAACTTAGCTATGTTAATTAGCTGTAAAGTGTTGTTGTTAAGCCTACGTTTTGATGTGAACAGGTGGAAGGAAAAGCATGTAGAAACACATAAATTTCGAAAAACCGTATTAAAGTTAGTTGTATAATAAGTCCCTTACTAAGCAATCGCGAATTCTTTAAAGAGAAATTCGGATCATTTAATTCTTTATGTGCAGCTCTCGCAGGCTCGAAGAGCGAATAAACAAGTTAATAAAAGGTTTATTATAAAGTATTATTTAAACTGAAACGAAGCCTTTCTTTACTTTTTTGTCCTCGCTGTTTTGTAAAAGTTGGCATTCTCTCCTGTTTTCTTTTTGTTTTCAAATTTTTTGCTGTTTGTTTTTCGAAATTTGTTTAGATTTGTTTGTAAAATTACCTGTTATGAACCGCTGGTTTGAATTGTTATAGATCTGAGAGACTGTATATTGTCATTGTCAACATTAAGTCATTAACAGCATTTAACTATGTAATAACATGGTGGCCTCTTGCTATCACAGGGACGTTTACTGACGTATTTTCTCATCAAAGTATTCATTAGGGACGTTTAGAGTAAATATTCCTCATCAATAATAAAACAATTCTGAAGTGAACAGGTGCACAGAAACACGTAGAAAAACATAAAATAAAACTCAACATCCGCTGCATTATAGTGCCGTATTTAAGAAATCGGAAAGTTGGGTAGCATTGCATGCTTAATAGGATGTTATGAGAAATAATCATATTTGCATAAGGTGTTAGAATACAAAATGAGACGGTGTCAAATAGATTATATAAATTACGAAGTTATGAAGCAAAATATAGTGAAATTAAAAGAGATGAATAGAACTGCCTTGGACAGGTGTTAAGTCATAGTAAAGGAAACATACCAAAGGTCCACTTTGTTGAGAAACTTTCTACTGTACATATAATTAGATAACAGACTGCCGTTAGCGAGCTCAGCACTCCTATTACTCAAAAAAAATCAATTTACTAGCTGCCAATATAGTAATCATACGCGCAATGAGATATACGTAGCACAAAAAATTCAATGGACTTGCTCTACTGTATTTTTACTATACTGTCGATAAGTGAAGACTTGTAGCTATTGATAATGAGGCTCTCATTAAGAGAGAGTTTGTATGAATCGTGAGAAGAGGAAATTCTTTCAAAGTCGTCCATGTTGGGGGTATCTCCAGATATGTTTATGTTAGCAAAAATGCTCGATAACGCAAGGCGTGACGTTTGGTTACCTTCAAATGGATATATTCTCATATGCTACGAAAATCCGATGTGTAAATGACACTTTATTTGACCCACATACAATACGTACAGCTACAACACTTTAATGAACACACAACATGCAATCTCCGAGGTTTGAGAACTTTTTCCTTAAAGGGGAGAAAGAAAATATACGTTAAGAAAGGTGGAAAACAAATTTGATTAGTACATGCGGAAAAGCGGCAGCACTAAGGCGATTTATTTATGTGTGTATTTGAATGGAATGCATACCTGTGAAAAAGACAGAAGTAGATGGATTTTTGTGAGCAGTAATGACGGGAAGTTTTGGGAAAGGTGTTGTCGAGGAAGCGACGTGTTATTTGGTCAAATACGCGGGAAAGAAAGCCTTTTGATGAGTAACTATCTCGTAGATTCAAGTAAAACAAAATTTTCAAAGTCTAAACAAAGTTCGTAAAACATTTTAAAGGTTTTAAAGATTTGTAAAACTTTCAAAGATTTGAAAAAGATTTTCGAAAACAAAGATTTGATGAAATATACACACGTGAGGCTAGTGAACGTTTGCGATAAACGGAACGCAGCTGCAATGCCTCGTACGTGGGTTAAGGCACACGTCCTTACAGACCAGATTTTCGAAGCATTTGGGAAAATTTTCCCTTGCAGGTGAAGTAGAAGTTTGAATTCAAGTAAACACCAAAGAACAACGTTTCAAAATAAGGCTTTACTCAACACTAAATTGAAATTTACAAAATGTCTCTTTATAAGTAATTATCTTAAACTAGCCGCGGTTACTAAGGTGGGTGTACTTCTTGTAATAATCACTACAATCACCCTCTCGTATTTGAAATAACTATATAATCTATACTAAATAATCCAAATAAGACTGGTCCTGACCGATTGTCTTTTTTTTCTTTTAGTTCAATGTCATGTATATGTCAGACGGTCGGGTTGTTTCTTTTCTCTCTGCGAGCGGCGTAACGGTAGTGTCTGTTGTGAAGACGACTGATCAGGTAGAGCGGGATCCTCTAGTAGTGAGTTCCCTTCTCTTTCCTTCTTTGGCGAACTATTATTTAGTTTCCTAGCGTCTTTTGTGGCCAAAGGAGATTGACGTGGGTCGTCTACAGTATTATCTTTATAAGGCGATAGTGGTAGCGGTTTCTCGCATAACTTCTCTTTTTCCTCAGCTTGTGGAGCGAGGAACTTAGTGGCTACGGTATCTTCTCTTCCATCAGGAAATTTTACATGCGCATACTGAGGATTTGCTTCGATTAGCTCTACTTCATCGACAGATGGGTCATACTTAGATTGTTTTACTTGATGCTTCAACAGTACTAGTCCAAGTTTGGATAGCCACGTTGGTATGGAAGTTCCACTCGTCGATCTTCGTTGGTGGATAAAGAGGCGTTCATGCGGTGTTACATTAGTAGCGGTGCACAACAGAGATCTGATGGAATGAAGAGCATCATGCAAAACTTCTTTCCAGCAGCTGGCCGGTAGTCCTCGCGTCTTCATCGCGAGGGAAATAGTCTTCCATAGAGTGCCGTTCAAACGTTCTACTTGGCCGTTGCCTTCTGGGTTATATGGTGTGGTTCGGCTTGACGAGATTCCTTTCAGGAGGAGAAAGTCTTTAACTTTTGCACTCATAAAGCCAGAACCTCTATCCGAATGGATGTAAGCAGGCATACCGAAAATCGAAAAAAATTCGCAGAGACAACTTATAATTGACTCCGCGCTAACGTCTTTACAAGCGAAAGCAAAAGGAAATCTTGAATATTCATCTATTATAGTAAGAAGAAACTTATTATGATTAGTCGTCGGCAATGGTCCTTTGAAGTCCAAACTAAGTCTCTCGAAGGGTTGAGTCGCTTTTACTAAATGGAAATTTTCTGTTTTGAAATATTGAGGCTTACTTTCCCTGCATATCTTGCAGGACTGTGTCATGAGCTTAATTTCCTCCATAGAGAAAGGGAAATTACGGTTTTTAACAAAATGTGCCATCCGCGTTATTCCTGGGTGACACAAAGATTCATGAAGCTCTATCAGCTTATCGGAGGTCATGCTCATTGCTCTTATCCTAGAAAATGTATTCGCTGGTACATTCTCTTCTCCTGCTCTGTAGATTATATCAAAATCATAAGTGGATAGTTCCATCCTCCATCTCATTATCTTATCGTTCTTAATTTTGCTCTTTTGCTTGGTATCAAACATGTAAGCTACTGACTTCTGATCAGTAATTAACATAAAATGCTTACCCGTAAGGTAGTGTCTCCACTTCCTCACGGCTTCTACAATAGCCGCTGCTTCTTTCTCCACTGAAGCGTGCTTAAGTTCTGATCCGCTTAACGTCCTCGAAAAGAACGCAACTGGGCGACCGTTTTGGTTGAGAGTGGACGAAAATTGCAGTCTTTACTTAGGTGTTTCAGTTCTTGTAGGTATTCGTCAAGGGTTTCGCCTGCTTGTTGTTTCCGTGTTGCTAATTTATGCCGAGCAAAAATCTCGTTCGGAGGCTTGACATATAAGGTTTTCAGCGTGGTGATGGCTTCATCGTAGGTTTCAGTATCACAGAACAGTTGATAAACATCAGAGGTGACATAATTCACCAGAATGTGTAGTTTATTTATTCGTGTATCAGGAATGGACGGTATTGCATCGATGAAGTTCTCAAATGTCGCGAGCCAGTGCGTCCAACGTTTTGTAGCGCCTTGCGCGTTCGGAATAACATCAAACCGTTCAGGTCTCAAAACTTTATCCATAGGTATAAGGGGAGTGTTGAGTAAATTGAAGTAGAAGTTTGAATTCAAGTAAACACCAAAGAACAACCTTTCAAAATAAGGCTTTACTCAACACTAAATTGAAATTTACAAAATGTCTCTTTATAAGTAATTATCTTAAACTAGGCGCGGTTACTAAGGTGGGTGTACTTCATGTAATAATCACTACAGCAGGTAACCAAATGTCAAGCCCTGCAACGAAAACAACCGTGCACCAATTAACATAGAAAGCCTGCGAATTTGTCTTGCTATGTAAATAATCTTTACTAACTGTATTAAAACAACAGATTTCTAAAGAAACAATGCAGATGATTTACAAAGCACAACCAAATATGAGGGTATTATACGTTACTGAGAGCAAAGTTCGAATACAAGCACGATGTTTAAAGTAGAAATTCGGTAACTTCCATACAACATACGATAATCATAAATAGCGTTGGACGATTATCAAAAAAATCAGCTCATGATTTTTTTTTAGGAAATTATCACGATATTCGATAATATCGCGATAAATACGATAACAAAATGCACCACATTATTTTTAAATTTTGATCAATAAAATGAACTAAACATAATCAACAAAGTAACTAAAGTTTTATGATAGTTACTCAATATTCAATAACAATTACCGGATGATGCAAATGCAGCGGGCACACAGCGCAAGCAAAGCATGCAATTTCATTGTTTAGCTCATCAATACATAAATATCATTGATTTAGTGTAGCTTTTGTACTTTACTATATCGTATTAATTTGGTAAATTTATAATTGTAGCGAGAGACTTGCCGAGCGGAAATCGAATTCGTGTGATAAAAATTAATGCCCAACATAAAGTTCTGATTAGAGCCATAGAAATAGACCAAAAAAAAAACGAATTTTAAAGTTAAATTTATTGTGACGTTTCGTCTTTACTCAAGACATCTTCAGACAAATAATAAATAGGATGTTAAGACAAGATATTATATTTACTAAAAGGTGTTAAATTACTACCAAAGGAAGCGGTGTCGAATGGATACATGATAAGGAAGTTAGGAAGTAAAATAAAGAGAAATTAAAAGAGGTTAAGTGGAATGGAGTTTCCTTGCACATTAAGTGAAGGCTTGTATTTATTGATTAGAAGGCTTTCATGAATGGGGAGTTCATAAGTATCGTTGGAAGAGGAGATTATTTTAAAGTCGTCTAAGTTGGGGGTGTGTCCAGTTGCGATAATGTGAGCAAGAATGCTTGATGATGCAGGGTGGGAAACTTGGTTGCCTGTAAGGGGGGATATTCCCAAGTGCTCCGAAAATCTGGTATGTAGATAACGTGTGGTTTTACCCACATACGAGGCGTTGCAGCTTCGACTCTTGAATAAATAGATTACACCAGATCTCAGAGGTTTGGGAATTTTGTCCTTAAAGGGGAAGAAAGAAGAGATACGTTGAGAAGGGCGGAAAACAAATTTAATGGATATATGTGGGAAGGCTGCAGCATAAAGGCTATTGATTTTGTGCGAATTTGAAGGAGTGTATGCCGGTGAAAGGAAGACAGAAATAGATGGGCATTTGTGAGACAGCAAAGACATCTTATTAACACTAACAAAATCAACGTGCCATCTCAATTAAAAACCTTTGTTCTTCACGTTAGGTAAATTCAAGGTGTATCAACGGACTATAAATAGAATTATTACTTCTTCTACAAATAAGAACTATCACTAAATAATTTTAATGAACAAGCAAGCGGTTGATAAACTCCACCCTATATTAAGACATTAGTGAGCAGTCGCCGCAGAGTGTTTGATTGAGCATTTGATAATTTAAATTTCAATTCAGAACTATTCCTGACTTGCAACCATTCTGAGATTTATCAAACATGTTGCTCGCCTATGTCGGCTAGTGCGAACAATAACACTAATAAAATATTCATTATCAAACCATCATTGAATTGCAAGTCAAGAATTCACTCATCAAAATGTTGTCAGTAGATGTTAAATAACTTCAACACATTTTACTGCACGTCTGAGTACAGCCAGATTTGATCCTAACGAACAGCCAATACGACAAGAATAAAACCAACCCGAGCAGCAACTGCACCAGTTAAAAGCACCATCATTTCTACCGTTTATAGGATATAAATGAATGACAAAGATGAACTTAATAAACATTAAGTGAGCAGGAGGCGGACAAAAAGCAATTGAACTATAATTAACACACGTGATTACTTAAAGATATCAATAGACTACTTGATATTAACATGACGAGAAGAAACTGTTTACTGGGGTTCGTCTGCTCATATTCTAGAAGCAAAGCTCATACATCATAATCGTTTGATGTGTGTTCCAACTAATAAAAACTAATGAATCGGAGAACCAGATAG